ATTTCTTCCTTTTTCCCTCTTGCAGCTATATCCACTTTTTGTGGTTGCTGGAATATGCCAAGGTCTCTCACGTCTTCCGCCTTTGCACATCCGCTAGTCTCCCTGAACCGTGCCCAACTTTTTTCACCTGGCAAATTTATTTCTCTAGTTTTGGCTGAAGAACTTCCTCCTCTATGAAGCCATCCCTGCTGCTCCTGGGCTGTCTTGACATTCCATCTGTGCTGCTAGAAGACATTTAGTACAGAGGCTCGAAGCCTAAAAATCAGCATCAAGATTCTCATCCTGGCGTCACCACTGAGTAGCTGTGACCTTGAGCCAAGTATTTAAGTTTTCTGTGCCTGTTCCCTCATTTATGACATGGAAATATAAATAGTACTACTCTTGGGGTTAGCGTGTGATTTCAGTGAGTTAATACATGTAGAACACTCACAAGTGACCTGCACCTGTTAAGTTTCCAGCATTGGTCATGACATCTTAATCACTGCTATTCTCAGATCACATGGTAATCTCTGCAAATGTTCTTCTCACTAGACTATAAACTATTTGAGGGCAGGGATCATATTTTTCCTTGGAGCCTTTCCAGCTTAGAACAGTGCTTGGGATACAAATATTTGAAGCCTAAAATTCAGAGGTTCCAAGCCAAAGAAGAAAATGGGAAGTGGTTCCTCTCTGTTTAAGAGACTTGTAAGGATATAGCAGAGCCACCCAAGGGATGAAGAAAGGGGGAAGGTGAAGAAACAAGAAATGTAATTGCCATGAGGAAGGAACAAATCGTTGACGTAGAACTGTATGCCCAGCTCATCATTGGTACCCAACAAATATATGATGGATGAGGCAAAATAGAGGTCATAAAATCAGGAGTGTAACAGAAATCAAAACACAATTTTTTTCTTTTAAATATCTAAATAAATACTATAGAAATAATATCACATGCCATTTATTATGTAAATTGCTCAGGTGTAAAGAAAGGTGGCCGGGTGCAGTGGCTCCTGCCTGTAATCCCAGCACTTTGGGAGGCTGAGGTGGGTGGATCATGAGGTCAGGAGTTCAAGGCCAGCCTGGCCAACATGGTAAAAACCCATCTCTACTAAAAATGCAAAAATTAGCCGGGTGTGGTGGCAGACGCCTGTAATCCCAACCACTCGGGAGGCTAAGGCAGGAGAATAGCTTGAACCCAGGAGGCGGAGGTTGCATTGAGCTGACAGCACGCTATTGCATTCCAGCCTGGGCGACAGAGCGAGACCCCCATTCAAAAAAAAAAAAAAAAAAAAAGAAAAGAAAAAAGAAAAAGGTTAAGTGTGCAAACCAGTGTTCAAGAAATCTCTTCTCAATATTCCAAAACGTTTCCATTTATGACCTGATAAATATCAAGGTGTGTTCTTTTCCATATCAGTCTTGTATAATTTGGTGCCTGTCAGGATCTAGGCAATATTACATGGTTGGAATATGCATGTTTTCCTTTAAGGTATGAGAAACATATTTGTATAGAAAACATAATTATTTAAGAAATTTTACTGAATTTACATTTCTTAAACTTCTACTCATATATCCCACATCATAGTGACACAAACAGAACATACGAGAAACGTATTTACTCCAAAAATACTACTTCCTAAAATATGATAAAAATTAAGCCTGGTGAAATGCTAAGATGCAAAGTCAGAATAACATTATTTAAAACATTTATGTTTTTCTTAAATGGTGTCTTTAAAAACATGAATTTCCAGAAAAATAAGTTTTTAAATCTGTTAAGTCTTGTTCCCATTTATTTTTTTTGTTGTGATTCAGAAATACAAGGTATGAAAATTAGGTTACAATTCTGCCACAAAAGCTTCTAAAGTAGCAAACACAACTTCTATTGTGTATCAAAATAGCCATGTGCACTTTTGTCAATGAAAAAGTCTTTACAGTTATCATATCAAGCAATTGTAAAATATAATAACTACTATCTCCCCTTCAAAATAGCAAATCTACCGTCACTGCACTGCAGTATAACCCAAACAGCAAGATTTAGTCCAGAATATGGAAGGTTATGATCGGCAGGTACTTCTTAAAGCTGACTCACTAAGAACTAAAAGAAATGAGAAATATACAAAGTATCTTGAGTCAAAGAGTATGAATATTTAAAAGTGGCCTCAAGTGAGTTAGAACATGATGTAATTAAATGTTTATATAATTTAGCAAAATAAATGATGTTGCTTTCTTCTAGAAAGACATAATTATTTGAACTGAAGCAGTGTTACAAAAATGTTTCCATCCTCTAAACATTAGAAACATCTCTCAAAATTTCACTTGCAACGATCAATAATATATGGTCTAACAGAGCCAGATATATATATACAGGTTTGTGAGACAGAGTCTCACACAGTTGCCTGGGCTGGAGTATAGTGGCATAATCTCAGCTCACTGCAACCTCTGCTTCCCAGGTTCAAGTGATTCTCCTGCCTTAGCCTCCTGAGTAGGGGATTATAGGCAGTCGCCACCACACCCAGCTAATTTTCTTTTTTTTTTTAGTAGAGATGGGGTTTCACCATGTTGGCCAGGCTGGTCTCAAACTCCTGATCTCATGATTTGCTGCCTTGGCCTCACAAAGAGCTGGGATTACAGGAGTGAGCCACTGAGCCCAGCCCAGATAAAGATTTAGAATTAAATATATAGAATAAAATAATTTATTCTATAAAAAAATAAAAATTAAAAAATTAAAAAAAGAATAATTTCCATGATTTTGTTTTTGTAAAAAGAAATAAGGATTGTTTTCTATATATTTTTCCATTATTAAGTCCTTGAACATATTTGAGGATTTTTATGGCTGAATGATGTTAATTTTTTAATATACTTACAAATACATTATAATAAAATAATACAACCAAATTAAAAAGCAGGTACTTAAAAACTGAAATTCACGAAATGAGCTGTTCTTGGCTACATACAGAAAGCCAACATTTAAACAGAATTATAATTAAACATTTACTGCCATAGGTAATATTTACCCACTTCTGGGTCGAATAGAAGGTGTTGAATCAATGTGATCCTTTAAAAAAACCAAAGTCATTAGTCTCCATAACAATCACTCAGGGTTTTTTTTTCCCCCCAGCAGAAAAACAAGTTGTTCAAGCATTGAAACAAAAAATATAAAAAACAGAATTTGCCTTGTAGTATTTGCATGTTTTGGATGAAGTCAGCCCATCGTGGGAGGCTGCTTAAATGCCTACAACTCCTTATCCAAAGCCCTTTGGGCTGGATGTGTTTCAGAATTCATAATCTTTGGGGTTTTAAAAAGGCAATATGGGCCAGGCACAGTGGCTCACACCTGTAATCCCAGCAGTTTGGGAGGCTGAGGCAGGCGGATCACAAAGTCAGGAGTTCGAGACCAGCCTGACCAACATGGTGAAACCCCATCTCTACTAAAAATGCAAAAATTACCCAGGCGTGGTGGTGCATCCCAGCTACTTAGGAGGCTGAGGCAGCAGAATCGATTGAACCCAGGCGGTGGATGTTGCAGTGAGCCGATATCACACCACTGCATTCCAGCCTGGGTGACAGAATGAAACTTTGTCTCAAAAAAACGAACAAAAAAGGCAATATGGGCATATTTTGATTATTACAAAACACCTCCACAGCGTCTAGGGGAATACCTATAATCAAATCCATAGATATTTCTTCAGGGAAAATTAACAGTCACAATGAAGTAGCATAAATAAAAAGTACAATATTCTCACATCTGTTCAAGTCTGCTTTTGCTGCCAAATGAATTACGGTATCAAATTGAGGAAAAAAAAAAAAAAAAAACAACAACCAACCAACTTAGATTTCCAAGTTTTTTGGTAAGGAACTGTAGCCCTTTAACGTCTCTGACAAAGAAATTTCTTCCCTGACATGATGGTCTCCGCAAATCTGATCTCATATTTTAGTGGAAATTGGGATAGGGACAATTGTCTTCTGCCCCAAAACAGGGGCTCTTCACAGGCACTCTTACACTTATTCAGGTAGTAGATTACAATCTCACTGGAGGCGACAGGTTCTATGAAGATAATTTGAAAAAAATATATTGAAATAACTAATGTTATTAAATCAGACACCATCTTGGACTAGATTCTAACATAGATCAGCAGTAGAAAGTGCCAACATTCAGGGAACATTTGTGAGAAAAGAATAAAATTGAGAAATATCTACACATTAATGTAATTGTTTTCTGCAAATTATGAAAAGCTATGATTCCATTTTAGCAGCTGTACAATGCAACTCAATATAATCTGTAAACTTTGGCTCTAAAAGACTGAAAGATTTATGAAACCATTTTGGCATCAACCCAACCTCATAAGCCGCAATGAAATCATTCCAAGCAATTTATACATTAAACAATAATTTCTTCTGTATCTATTAGTACTTAAATATGCTATTTTCAGATCTTAATAAAAAGATACCATGGGTTAAAGCCATAAAACATCTTTAAAAAGTTAAATCATTTAAAGTCAAGAGCTTCAAAAAGGAGCAAAAAAAGGTTTGCTATAATTTTTAGGTCTTCAATTTTTGTATAGAGTTTTTGTTTTTTAAGTTTTACTTTACAATTTAAGAAAGTTTCCTCTTCAGAAACAGAGGTCTTTTCTCACCGAAGTGAACTGGAATGTGCTACCGCGTATGCAAGGAAGACGAGTAGGAACGACAAACAGGATGCAACAGGGAATGCTGGCTAACACTCATCAGAGGCACCTGCTGTAGAAATCCACCAATGAACACAGATCCCATAACCTGGAAACAACGTGCAGGGGCCAAGAGGGTCTCCAGGGCTACAGAGTTACAGTAATGAGTGGGCTTCCTTAGCACGTGGTATGAAGATAATGCCTGCAGGCTCAGCGGGAGAGTCGCAGAAAGAACGGGTGATCATTTTATTTCAAAAGCGAGCCTCTTCAAAATCAGCCTTTTTTTCTTAATGGGTAAAATTCATATTATCATCAGCCTTTCCTAAAAGCTACATATATGCTCTGAGAAAAAGGTCACACTTTTTAATTTTTTCATTTGTTTTAATTAATTCATGAATTAAGTTAAAAAGTCAAGTCAAAAAAATTTTAGCTGGTCTTTTTTTTCTTCTTTTTTTTTTTTTTTTTTTTACAAAAATATTACAGCAGTATAAGCAAAATTGGAAAGGAAGAGATGGGAAGAACAAGTAGAGGCTAAAATGGAGTAGGTGAACTTCAGGTCATCATGGCTATTGAAGGAATTATAAATTCTGAAGTTTCTAGATTTTATCGCTCTTCTGAAAACATTTAAGGAGGCTGCCTTTCCTGATGAATGAGAAATGAAACGTTCCCTAAGCATTGCAGTCTAAAGACAAGAAAGCATTGCTTTTCCTACTAGAAAATATCTCTTTACCTCCCATTGCACTGCCCTCTCCCGTCCCCCTCGTAGCTTTATGGGATCAAAGAGAGAGAGAAGCCATGAGCTTCCACCAGCAGCAGAGTGAGTGCTGAGCACAACACAAAGCTGTCAGTGACATTCAGACTCACTGGCAATGGGTTCAACTCATCTTGAATAAAATACACCAAGTTTTTTTAAAAAAACAAAAACCTAGAAACCCAAAACTGTTTTTTATGGAAGGTTTAAAAAAAGTCCTCAAGATTTCTTTATGTGCCATAAAGTACATTTCTGGACTTAATCTCTAGTGGTGGGGGGGGGGGGTGCAAAAAGGAATAAATAGAAAAAAATTGAATGATTATTCTGGAATCCTGTTCGTTATCTTGTTCACACGCTATTAATTCTCATACCATCACCTCTCTACCTCAAAGCCTAGGAAATCAAATGGTCTCCTATTCCACATTTGCATAGTATTAATAATATTGTCAGTAGGTGAACTTCTAGCTTCTTGCAGCCACATTTCTGAAGAGCACTGGTCCAATCTGATATTCAAAAACAATATATAAGTATCTATCGATCAAAAATTGAGTCCCATTTAGCAGCAAGCTGTTCAAATTATTTGGAAACAGTCTTCTTCCAAGGGTAAGAAGAATTAGGCAGTTTTATCTGCAATTTCAGATTTTTCTCTCTGCATCATACAGCGACGAACTATGCTGTCAAAACTTCCAAGGTAAAACAAAGCAATAGTACGGAAAAGGCCCATAGTGACCACCTGCAAGATAAAGAGAGAGCTTTTAGTACATCCAACAGTACAAGACTATCTCAAGGTGGCCAGGCACAGTGGCTCACGCCTATAATCCCAGCAAGGTGGGTGGATCATGAGGTCAAGAGAGCAAGACCATCCTGGCCAACATGTTGAAACCCCATCTATACTAAAAATAAACAAATTAGCTGGGCATGGTGGCACATGCCTGTAGTCCCAAATACTCAGGAGGCTGAGGCAGGAGAATCGCCTGAACCCAGGAGGCGGAGGTTGCAATGAGCCAACATCGAGCCACTGCACTCCAGCCTGGCAACAGAGCAAGACTCTGTCTCAAAAAAGACTATTTCAAGGTACCTAGGTCTCTAATAAATAGTTTCTAAGACATCTTCTAGTCTGCTCTAAGGATGAATATAATGCAAACTCTGTAAACAGCAATATGCCGTGAGAACAGAATGTGTGTGTGTGCTCTGCATCAGTGGACAGCAGAGGGCCTGCCAGAGAGATAACAAAGTATTTGTTCGATTAATAAGTTCAAACCATAAGCAGAACAAAATAGGTATTGCTCACAGCCTTAGTGTTATAACAGCTTTAAAAGATCCCCTCCAGCATCTCAAGTAGTCAAAAACAATCAAGGCGTTTTTGGTTTGAGATTTAAGTTCTGAGCATGAAAGCGAGACCCTATACTAGGTGCGGAGAACACTGCAGTGAGACGCACAGTCCCTGCCCGCAGTGAGCTGATTCTCGGGCTGGAAAGACAAATAAAAGTGAAACTACTGCCTCGGGGTTGAGACCGTGATTACCGATAGACCTTCACTCTTTCCCCTAAAAGACTCACAAAAACAATGCAAAATGGGATTTTTAAAATGGAGAAAACTACAAAGAAAAACATTTTCAAATATGCAAGCACAACAAATTTGCCTTCCAGGCCCCGTTTTTTTTGTTTGTTTGTTTTCCAGAAAGCTATTTCAGTAAACAGCCAATGTGAGGTGGTTGATAGAGAAAGATGATGTCATGTGAGACAAGAAGCAGGGTACCCAACACGAAAGAGAGACAGAAGCACCCCCTGGATGCCCATGAAGTGGGGAGGCCAGGCATCCGCTGTCCACCAGATTCCTGGAGGGTGGTGCCCAGAGACGGAATGGGAGCTCCACACTCCTCCCCATGCACCTCTCCCCAGGCTCAGTGAGCCGTCCTAGCACATTAACCAAATCTGAGAAAGGGGTCACGAAAACCCCAAAGTATAGCAAACTGGACAGAAACACAGGAGAAAACCTATCAGGTGTGACTGGTGTCTCAGGCTGGAGGAAGTCTTACAGGGCTGAGCCCCTTCGCCTGTGGGATCTGATGCTATTTCCAGATAAGTAGTATCAGAATTGAACTGAATTAGTGGATACCCAGCTGGTATCCCATTAGGAATCCCCCACTACAGATCTGAAGGATTGATTGAGTGTTTTGGGGAGAAATCTCTACACACTTCCTGGTTGGTGACCAGAGGTCATAGAAGTCTTCTGTGGTTTTTGTTTTTTTGAGACAGGCTTTCATTCTGTTGCTCAGAAGGGAGTGCAGTGCCACGAACATGGCTTATAAAACTTTGACCTCTGGAATTCAAGGGATGCTCCTGCCTCATCTTCCCAAGTAGCTGGGACCACAGGCATGAGCCACCATGCCTAGCTTTTTTTTTTTTTTTTTTTTTTTTTTGGAGAATTATTGAGGAAGAGAATAGAAAAAACGTTTTGTTTTTTTCCCTACACCCTCAGAGCACTGAAGTCAGTCCTTGGATCCTCTGGAAAAAAACAATGTTTAAGGTGAGAACTGAAGGAAGATTAGAAGTTAGCAGGACATAGAGAAGGTTCCAGAAAGATGAGGACCGGTAGAGAAAGAAATGAAAGAGCCTGGAAAGGTAAGTGGGGTAGGAGATCAGAGAGTTTATGGCATGCAATGGACATTTTAAAAATTTTTAAATTCTTTTTAGAGACAAGGTCTTGCTCTGTCACCCAGCCTGTAATGCAGTAGTGTGATCATAGCTCACTGTAGCCGCAGACTTCTGGGCTCAAGCAGTCCTCCCACCCCAGTCTTCTAAGTTGCTAGGAATACAGGTATGCACCACCACATCTGGGTTTTATTTTTTTCTTTTTACATTTTTTTTTTTTTTGTAGAGACAGGGTCTCACTGTGTTGCCCAGGCTGGTCTCAAACTCCTGAGCTCAAGTGATTCTCCCAACTTGGCCTTCCAAAATGCTAAGATTACAGGCGTGAGCCACCATACCCAGGTGCAATGGGATTTTTAAAACTTTATCCTGATGTTATCAAGGAGCCACTGAATGTTTTCATGCAAGTACAGTTGCCGTTTAGAAAAACTGGTGTGGAAAATGTGAGGGCACACTCGAACGCATCCCAGGGGCCTGGCCAGGGGGTTGCAGACCATAGTGGTTGTGGGACTGCCCCTCCCTCAGGAGCAGCTGCCACCTGTGCCTGCTGATGACTGCCAGGTGAGAATGCAGACTGTGCAGCCAGACCTTCTGATTTTCCAAGAAAAGTCTGAAATCTGGACCTTTTATATAAAACCTAATTTTAAAACTATTTAAAAATCTTAAACACACACACGCATGCCAGATGGACCAAACAAAACTGCTTTACAGGCCCATGGGAATCGTTTACAACCTCTGGCTCAAAAAGTGTATAATTCAGGCAGGGGCTTGCTGTGGCAAGCCAGGCCTGGCCTCCAGAAGCAGCGCCAGAGCTGCAGAGCATGGAAGCATTTGAAGAACAGAGTGACAAGGGTGACACTGATCCCTGATGTGAGGGACAGAAGGAGGGGAGTCCGGGACAACACCCCAGGTGTGAGCCACCATGCCAGCCCAGAAATTAAAATAACAGAATTCATGAATTCATTCAGCTCAGGTATTCTGGAGCTCCTACTAAGTGCCAGGCACTGGCTGTTAGGGGTACAATGGCAAACAGGAGGCGGGGGCTTGGTCCTCAAAAAGCTTACATCTAACACAGTATTGACCTCTAAGAGAACGGCAAGACAGTAGATACCTACAGAGTAACAAGAGAAGAGGGCTTGGGAAAGAAGGGGCAACAACTATGTCATTTATATACATCTGAATGTGGTCTACCGCACACAACGTAGTACTCGTTATCAACTATCCCGTGGCTTTGCTTTTCCAGAGCATTCCCTCTACAGTAACCCCTACTATATTACACTGCATTACTATCACTTTTTTATTTTTTTTTTGGAGATGGAGTTTTGCTCTTGTCGCCCAGGCTTGAGAACAGTGGCACAATCTCGGCTCACTGCAACCTCTACCTGCTGGGTTCAAGGAATTCTGCCTCAATCTTCCGAGTAGCGGGGATTACAGCACCTGCCATCACACCCAGCTGATTTTTATATTTTTAGTAGAGATGGGGTTTCATCATGTTGGCCAGGCTGGCCTTGAACTCCTGACCTCAAGTGATCCACCCCCGTCAGTCTCCCAAAGTACTGGGATTACAGGCATGAGCCGCCACGCCCAGTCTACTATCACCATTTTGGTTAGTGTATTCCACTTGACTGTAAGCCCCTGAAGTTGGAGGTCATCTTACATCTGATTCTCCATGAGCAAGTATCTAGCACATCAATGAAACATGAACTGTGTGTATCTTGGACAAAATAATAAATTCCATAAGCATAGGAATTGTGTTTAATTCTTGATTTATATCTCCCAAATTTTGCTCTGTGTGACCTGATTCTCCTAGAAAAGGTTTTCTAGTCTAATATCCCAGTACTTTTTAGGCAAGGCCACCCCTTACTCTAGAGCAGTATTCCATTTTTCAAAACATTGGAGCAGTGGTGCTTAGGTGAAAATCCAGATCAACACCTTGACAGCAGAGACGGTGTTTCATTTCTCTATCTGCAAGGCATGGCACCAAAGACTTCTTGCCAGTCTAAATTCCTGAAGTTAAATCTTTAACCTATTTAACTCATTCCTGGTGGAGGAAGAGGAAACGTTGATAGCTCAATAAAAACACATTCTCAAATGACGTTACTTCGTTTTCCCTTAACCTCTTCCCATCAAGGTTTGATGAAAGGCAGTTTTTCTCTTGTCCATCGGTCTGTGTCTGCTTGCTAGCCTAGGAAGGGCTTACCTGCTGGAGCCCCTCAGTAATAGAAGTTACTGGAGCCATCCCACAGGTCAGGGCTGAGAGCATGTACCCATCTGAGCCAAGAGAACTGTTGAAATTTCCTTGCTAAAAGAGAAGGAAGAGAAGAGAAAGAGGGAATCCTAATAATGTAGATGGAAATCCAACACATCAGAAACAATGCAGGGTGCTTGTTCACTTTAAGTGAGATAAAACAGTAACAAAGCATTGATCAGCGCTCGGAAATGGCTGCAGGGCCTTGGCAGATGGACAGTTCTCAACATGTGAGTCTACGGACCCCTGCGGGCCTCGAGGACAAGTGGCCTAATAACACTAAGACGTTCATTGTCTTTTCTACACTGTGATATTTGTATGGAAAATACAGGTTTGCATGTGCAAAACTGCAGAGACATGGGCAAGAACTACAGTGTTCTTGCCAAACTGTACTAGGAGTCATTGTCACCTGTACTTCCACATGCACTTGCAGTAATAAATACAAAAAGAAAATACAAATTCTAACACTCTTTCAAACATCAAAAAGTGTCAGTTTTGCTTAAAAATCCTCTTGATAAAGCAGCAAAATTCATCATTTTGTTAAATGGCAACCCCTGAGGACATGTCTTATTAGTATTCTGTGTGACAAATGAGAACATGCCCAATGTGCTTCTGCGGCCCTGCATTCCACAGGAGGTCAACTGCCTGGAAGAAAAGCCCTTGTGCAGCTGTGCGTAAGTCAAGGGCTGAACTGCCACTTCTTTCACAGAGTGTCTTATTAATTAATTAACTTATTTATTGACAGAGTCTCACTCTGTGGCCCAGGCTGGAGTGCAGCAGTGTGATCTCAGCTCACTGCAACCTCCGCCTCCCGGGTTCAAGCGATTCTCCTGCCTCAGCCTCCCAAGTAACTGGGATTACAGGCGCCCACCACCACGCTCGGATAATTTTTGTATTTTTAGTAGAGACGGGGTTTCACCATGTTGGCCAGGGTGGTCTCAAACCCCTGAGCTCAAGCAATCCATGCATCTGGGCCTCCGAAAGTGCTGGGATTACAGGTGTGAGCCACCATGCCTGGCTGGGGAGTGTAATTTTTATATGAAAGACCACTGACATATTTGTCTATGGTTATTCAGACTTAGGTATGTGGCAAACTTGCAGAAAATGAAGCAAGCAAGCCTGTCACTTCAGGAAAAACAACTGGCCACATGTGTCATCAATGTTAAAATCTGAGCCTTCAAGAAAAAAATTAAGATTTGGCAAAACTAGTATCCACCATCATGAGACTGTCAGCTGCATACTTTTATGATAAGATCAGCAGTAATATTGATGAAAGAGATGTTTTTGATCACTCAGTCAACCCATATTTTCCAAATGACTAATGCATAATGTTACGAAATAATGAATGGTTAAAAGATCCATTCAAAGTACAAGATGGACCAATGGAATTTAATGTAACAGAGAACAAAACGTTCACTGATACAGCTTCCAATTCCGTCCCACAACTAACCTTTAAGAAACTACCACTTATTGAGTTTGGGTTTCATATCAAAAAAGAATGTCCATAATTATCTCAAAAGCCTCATAAAATACTGTTCCCTTTCTCAACTCCATATCTGTGTAAGGCAAGATTTTCTTCGTATCCTTCCATCAAAACAACATGATTACAACAGATGGAATGCAGAAACAGCTATTTGAATCCAGCTGCTCATGCAGACCTTAAAGAGACAGGTGAAAATGTGAACCAATGCCACTGTTCTCACTCAACTGTTGCTTTGAAAAGTAGTAAATTTTGTTTAAAAAAAGTCATGTTATAAAGCAATGAGTATATTTTTGTTATTTTTAATGAATTCATAAGTATTACACATAGCTTCCATTTCAAATATGGCAACTATCAATAAATCTAGCCATATAATAAATGAAAGTTCTCTGGGATTGTGACAATTTGTAAGAATATAAAGCAGTCAAGGGAAGAAAAGTTTGAAAACCATCAAACTAAATGAATACTGCCAAAATACTAATAGCTATTTAACATCAATAAAAATACCAAATAGGGCGGGCATGGTAGCTCATGCCTATAATCCCAGCACTTTGGCCAAGAGGCTGAGGTGTGTGCATCACCTGAAACCAGGAGTTTGAGACCAGCCTGGCCAACGTGGTGACACCCCGTTTCTACTATAAATACAAAAAAGCTGGGCATGGTGGTGGGTGCCTGTAATCCCAGCTACTCAGGAGGCTGAGGCAGGAGAATTGCTTAAATCCAGGAGGCGGAGGTTGCAGTGAGCCGAGATCGCACCACTGCACTCCAGCATGGGCAACGAGAGCAAAACTCTACCTCAAAAAAAAAAAGAAAAAGAAAAGAAAAAAAAGAAAAGAAAAACCCCCACCAAATGCATTTGCTTTAACCTGAGATAAGTAGCAAAAATAAAGTTCCACTTGTGCCATCTTCCTGGGCTTTTAATGCACTAGGAGTAAAGTTCTTCACATGCATATATATATTTTAACAGAATTCACTAAGTCTTATCCTGTCAGTTCAGTCTAATGTGATAGCACTTACGCTACTTCAAGGCTGTCTACCACGTGCTGTCCCCTCTCATTCCAATGGTCCTAAAGATTTTCCAAATTTAATGTGGGCCTGTGGTTTACAGACATCCCTCATAAATGTGTATGTTTCTGCATTAACAGAAATGTTATCAAAAAGCATGAGACACATGTTCTTCTAGAAAACAGCACATCATTTCTTAAAATATCATTTTGGATTCTGAATAAAAAAACATATCAACAGGGAAGACAGGAGGACAGGCTCACAGGGTTGGTGGCACTTCTCATTAGCTAACTTTTAGGAAAATGATACTGGGAAGCAGGAATGGGAAAGAAGATAGCCAGTTGTATATAGGACATAGTATATATTGTTTACACTGTATAGAAAAGTCTCATTTTCTTTTTAAAGAACTGGTGTTTCCAGACATCCTTCTGGTAAACCTGTTCCTAAGGTTAAGGTATACAATCAGTTTCCATGAGCCTACTCACTAATATGGAGTCAATAAAACATCTAAAAGAAGAAAAATTCCAATATTAGATATGATGAATCGAAACAGACTAAACACTTATAATAATTGATGTCTTGAAATAAGTACTTGGACAAATATCTTTTCAGAAATATAGTACTACAAATACAAATAGTACAGAAAACAAGGATTTGACTTACTATGGCATCTTTAACAATTTGTTTGGCCACCTGTTCTGGTTTGCACACAGATGTGGTCTCTGAAATAAGTCGAGTCTCCAAAGGCTAAAAGTGAAAAAAAAAAATGTACAATATCATGATTGCCCATTATTAGAAATAAATTTTTCTTACAGCCTCCTGATTTACAAATAATTCCAATTTTCTGCCTTTGAGCAGATTCCTGTTGTGAGCATAAGGTCCATCTGGATTCTAAATCAGTGTCTACCTAGTTACTATGTAAAATTCTGCTTAGTAGCTGAAGCAAGACAAGAAGGCCTTTGCCATTCTCTTAGGACACATGTAGTCCTGGCTTCAGTGAGGACTCTCAAAGCTAGAGTGAGAACACATCACTGGGTACAAGTTCAGAAAGACCCCCTCTTTGACTCCTCAGTGCTGGCCAGACACCCAAGACCAGCAAGTCCATTCTGACCACAATCCCAGGCCAGCAGAGGGCTGATACCAGGGGATGAACCTGGGGCCCAAGGCAGGCAGATGTTTCTTAAAGGACCTGCAGAGGAGGCAAACGCACAGGACACTGAAAGACAAGGTGCCACTTATGAGACAGCCCTGAGTGGTCCCTACGTGGGCTGCATGCTAGTTACCAGGCTGGAGTTGCAGACCTCAAATCTTGGCCTTTCTTCCTCAAAAGGTCCATCTCAACCCTTGCCTAGCCCAAAAAGCCTTTCCTAAATGCCTAACTGGCAGTATCCTCTCTCTTTTTTCTGTGAACATTTCTGCTTTAATACACATTATAGCTACTTGTACCTTGCATTTTACCTCCAAAGTTTCTTATGGGCAGGGTCTTTTTAAAAATAAATTATTTATCTTTGACTTGTCTTTGTGATGCCTTGCATATGTGTGCTCAAAAATTATTTCAATTAGTTCCAATTAGAAGTGTCAAACAGTTTGTTAGAAGTGTTAAATGAAAGCCTTAAACTGTATAAGACTGTAAGTTTTACCACATAAGCTTGAAAGAATTAAAGAAAATAAAAACCAGATTATATTTTCTTAAAATAGAAAAGTAAAGTATTTCATAAAGATCAAGTATTTCTTGATGAACCTGAAGTAAGAGAAAGGCTGTTTTGAAGGTGCCACCATTCATTCTTCCAGACCACCAGGCTGACATAACCACACTAAATACTCATGAGATTCTAAAGCACTATGGCGCCCCCTAAAGGGCCCACACAACAATGTAGAATTGTATTTACGCAAACAAGTCTGTCCACAATTTTATTGAAGGGAAAAAAAAACCAACTTAATTAACATCAGAATCAAACCTTAACAGGGAAATCACCACCCTTTGTCGGCTTTGGCTTCAAACTAAAAGACCGCATACCAAATGCTGCAAAGCTGCTTAGCAGATCTCTGCATATTCTAAGACAGGACATTTGGCTTAAATTTACTTCTTTGAAATAGAAGTAATTTTTAAAAAGGCAAAGCCAAAGAGAAAAGAATAGGGGAAAAAACACTTCTAAATCATAAACAGCTTTTTACAAATATACAGTCTAGGGAGTTTAAGGCCAATTTTTATGCTGCAGAGATTCACATTTACAAAGTATTGGTATAAAAGAGAAGAAAAAAAATAAAACTAAAATCAACCACAGTTTAAGGTAATAAGTTCTGACTGATTCCTTTCTTCCTGCTTCACTTATTCATTTGCTCAAAAAAGCAACTACTATGTGTCAAGGCAAAGGGAATATTCCATTGAAAAATGTGAAGCTTGTATTCAGCTCAGGATGACTGGCAGTGATTTTATATAACAGATATGTCTGTTATAAGTGCTATGAGAAGTTTCTGTTATAAGCTGTGACAAGTGCAATGGAGACCCCCAATCATCTCCTCTACAATGACAGAAGATTAGCAGTTTACTAATCATACTGTTAATTCTGGAACACCAGCCACCACTAAGAGTAGTTACAAGGAACCTGTGGAAACAGAAAAATTAGGCCAAAGTTGGCACTTAGGTGGTGAGCTCCCCAGCCCTCTTGCCCTGCTTGGCTCCCACAACACAGACAGGAGATCTTACTCTCCCAAGGGCAGGAGACAACATGATTCCTCGCTAAGGAAACTGATCAAACCAAGAGAAAAGTGAGCAGATGCTGGCATATGAGAGTCTGCTAATGATGTGACTGCATTTTCTCCTGATCATCCTAGAGTAACCAGCTGAGAAGCTAGAGATTTACAATTGGCATTTTAGTGCCTCACTCTAAAATATGGACAATCAAGGATCACCAGACATTTGAGGAAGCCTAAAAGAACCACAAAAGAGAAAAAGAAACTAGGAGGAAATAAATAATACAAGACATAGAAGAACTTTTCAAACAAAACAACAACAAAAAACAAGACTAAATGTCCAGAGTGAATATCCTTAGAAATAAGAGAAAATATAAAATCCATGAAATAAGGCAAGAAGCTATTTTTAAAAACTGTTTTAAATATTCAGAGAAAAGATATTTAAAATAATTTTTATGTAAGCCAGCAGAAATACAAATTTCAACAAAAAAGTTGAAGGATAAAGCTAATAAAAAAACTAGAAAGTAGAACAAAAAGCCAAAGAGATATAAAATGAGAGAAAAGAGAAGGAAATTAGAGGATCAGTCCAAAAAATCTGAATAGTAAATGCTCTGGAAAGAATGAACACCTGAACTACTTTGGGAACAAAGAAGTGATAAAAAGAGTAATATAATAAAATGTCCCAGAACAAAAGTTGCAGTGAGCCATGACTGTACCACTGTGCTCCAGTCTGAACGGAAGAGTGAGACCCTGTCTCTATACAGAAAAAAACTGGTAGAAATTTAAATTAAACTTAAAGAGAAGGAAGTGAAGGAAAAGAGAAAGGACAGAAGAAATATTTGCCTGGAGAATCTCAAGGTCATCAGAAACCAGCTAGGTGCTCTACCCAGTAAACATTGTTGACTGATGAAAATGAGTGTGAGCTGAAGGGCAGAAAGAAAATCAGAAAAGCAGTACACATTAGAGGTTCAAATTGGGACACGTAGCATACCGACCTTTGTTCTGTTTTCTTCGGCAAAACCAGGTGTGTCGGTGTCTGGTGGGTAAGCAACTGTGATGTAGACATTATATGGCTTCACCTGCATTTGAAAACAAACACGTGCACCTTCAGTACACAAGACACAGTGAGATCCTACACTACAACCTGCACTGGCTGCCTGATTCCCAAAAGGCGGTGAGAACAATGAGGTGATTCTGTAAGCAGAGAATTACCACCAACTGCCTGGAGAAACCCTCTCCATGAAGATGATTCCAGAATGAAGGCAAAAGGCTCACCCTAACCTAGACTGGTTTTAGCTGTACAGCTGTTCAGAAAACAGCTGGCCCTACGTATGACAAGTCACCTCCTTCGCAGTGTCTTCCACTCCTGCTGTCCAGGCAGAGGCCCTGGGAGCCGTCCAATGAGGAGGACAGTGTTTTAAAAAGAGGCCAATTCCCACACGTGCTGTGCAGCATCCAAGCACTTTATCAAGGCAATGGGCTCGCTCTGCCCTTTCCTTCTTCACCGGGATGCACATCTGTTTTTCCTTCAGAGTGCTTCAGATACTCTTGTGTTGATTTCATCCACAGAATACTCTGGGGTCATTAAAATCTCCTGCCCTATACCGTTCTTGTGTCCCCGCAAACCCAGTCCAGAACTGTCCCTGCTAAGTCTGCTTACTCCAGAGCTCTCTGTACAACCGTTCTCTGCCTCTTAGGAGGTCAAGAGTCACTTCCTCCTCCACTGAACCAACAAAAAGAACCACTGGGTGAGGGCAGGTGTGATGGCTCACACCTGTAATACCAGTATTTTGGGAGGGTGAAGCAGGTGGATCACCTGAAGTTGAGAGTTCAAGACCAGCCTGGACAACATGGAGAAACCCCGTCTCTACTAAAAATGCAAAATTAGCCGGGTGTGGTGGCACATGCCTGTAATCCTATCTACTCGGGAGACTGAGGCAGGAGAATCGCTTGAACCCAGGAGGAGGAGGTTGCAGTGAGCCGAGATCACGCCACTGCACTCCAGTCTGGATAATAGCAAAACTCCATTTCAAAAAAAACAAAATCAAAACAAAACAAAACAACAGAACAACTGGGTGGAACCTCCAAGTCAGACCAGCCAAGTACCCCCTCTGCAGACAGCCTCAACCTGCATTCACACAGGGAAAGCCCTCTGCCTTATCTGAAATTCTACGTGGCTCCTCTGCATTTGACACTTGGAGAAAGTTGTTACGCTTATGTGACTCAGCACCATGCCTGCACCCTTCACGATTCACACCCCCACTCATACACACCCCCTCAACAATTCCAGCAGATTCTTCTGCTGTTGGCCAGGACACACCCTCCCACAGATTGCTCAGCCACAGCCCTGCTGCACACGCTTATCTTGCCCAGCCAAGCAGCAACTCTAAGAGCAATGGCTCATACCACGAAAATCTCTTTGCCATGATTTTTATTTGTTATTGGCTCCTTTTAGTCCCTAAGAAAATACCTAAGGGATGTGGAAGTGGAGAGGCAGCTGACAGATCAGCCACTGCACATTTTTAGAAGGACACCCTGGCTGAAAATCAACAATCCCACTGCCTAATGTGACAGTCTCTAAGAGTAGCCCAGGGGTCGGGCATGGTGGCTCACGCCTGTAATCACAGCACTTTGGGAGGCCAAGGCGGGCGGATCACCTGAGGTCAGGAGTTTGAGACTAGCCTGGCCAACGTGGTGAAACCTTGTATTTAGTCAAGATACAAAAATTAGCTGGGTGTGGTGCCAAGTGCCTGTAATCCCAGCTATTTGGGAGGCTGAGGCAGGAGAATCGCTTGAGCCCAGGAGGCAGAGGCTGCCGTGAGCTGAGATCGCGCTACTGCACTCCAGCCTGGGTGACAAGAGGGAGACTTCACCTCAGAAAAGAAAAAAAAAAAAAAAAAAAGCCAGGCATGGTGACTCACACCTGTAATCCCAGCACTTTGGGAGGTCAAGGCAGGTGGATCATGCAGTTAAGATATCGAGACCATCCTGGCTAACATGGTGAAACCTTGTCTCTACTAAAAAAACATATATACAAAAATTAGCTGGGTGTGGTGGTGGATACCTGTAATCCCAGCTACTCAGGAGGCTGAGGCAGGAAAATTGCTTGCCAATCTCTGGGAGGCAGAAATTGTAGTGAGCTGAGATCGCACCACTGCACTCCAGCCTGGCAAAAGAGGGAGACTCCATCTTAAAAAAATAAATAAATAAAATAAAGAGTCGCCCAGGGTCCCATCTTATCATGCAGCCCCTATTCCCCCTGGTTACTTCAGTGAAGCGCAGTTTTCAGGGCTTTAGGGGGAGCTGAAGTGGAGGGAGAAGCACAAACGGGCCGGCAAGCAGGACATCCCAGCCAGCCGTCCTGGAAAGTGTAGTCATGAAAGTAAGATGTCTTTGTGGGTTCTATTCCGGTGCAATTAGGGCGTCGGACAGCCCATCCACTGGGCATCACCAGAGCATGAAGCCTTACAGCCCAGCGATGCTCATAAATAGCTCTGGATTGGGGCCAGGCAGTGAGGCAGAGCCAGAAACTCGCTTCTACTTGTTTTTGAAATAGTGACTTACAAAATCCTTGTCTCCCCCAGTCTTGCCCTCCACTGTGCGTAGACCAGAGGAAAACACCAAAAAAATCCAGCGAGTGGTCATTAGGCAGCCATTTAAAGATTGACACCGACTGCCCAGACACTCACGTCTGCGCTGCCCCTCTGCCTTCTCTCTCGCAGTGAAGGAGGATGCAGCTCCAAAGCTAAGGGAGAACAGGATTTCAGCAGTGCTTCTCAAACTCAGGGTTAAGGCTGCATTGCGAAAAGTTAACACAGCTTTTCAGAGCAGCTTCCTCTTGAGGTAGGAACACAGATTGCTGGGGTTAGGAGAAACCAGTCCGGTCACTTCCTGGGTTGGTTTTCTTGCTATACATCCAACCAAACGACTCTCCCAGTCTCTGGCTGAATCCCTCCAGTGGCTAGTTACTTCACTATTTACCTATTTTTTAAAAATTTATGTGTGCAACAAGGAGCACGTACTGAATTACTTCTACATGTCAGTAGTGTTCTAAGAACAAAGCATAAGATTAAGATTCTAGTTTCCTGGCCAGGCATGGTAGTTCTCACCTATAATCCCAGCACTTTGGGAGGCTGAAGCAGCAGATCATGAGGACAGATCAAGACCATCCTACTTAACACAGTGAAACCCCATCTCTACTAAAAATACAAAAAAAAAAAAAAAAAAAAAAAAAAGCCAGGAGTGGTGGTGGGTGCCTGTAGTCCCAGCTGCTTGAGAGACTGAGGCAGGAGAATCATTTTAGACTGGGAGGTGGAGGCTGAAGCGAGCCAAGATCGCGCCACTGCACTCCAGCCTGGACAACAGAGTGAGACTCTGTCTCAAAAAAAAAAAAAAAAAAAAATTCTATTTTCCTGAATTTCTTGGTCAAATATTTGCTAAAATCTGAATATATTACATTACATCTATACTCTCCTTTAATCTACTGATCTCATAACCCTGTCATAAAAAAAAAATGAGGGTAGTTTGGCTTTCTTTACTTGTTCTTATAAGAAAATGCTAGCTCCCTGAGATCACCACTCTTTCTAACAATGGATGAGCCAGGTCTTCACTGAGTCCCCTGCTGCCTGGCCACTGCTTCGCCTGGTCTCTCTTGCCTGACCATTCTCTGTGCCCACTGCTCTGTCCCACACCCATCCTACTATCACTTCCTTCTCCTTGGCCTCAATCTCAAACAGAAAGACAACTGACCACTTGTTCAAGAAGTGATTTGTGGGCTGGGTGCAGGGACTTACACGTGTAATCCTAGCACTTTGGGAGGTAAATTGGGCAGATCACCTGAGTTCAAGACCAGCCTGGCCACCATGGCGAAACCCCATCTCTACTAAAAATACAAAAGTTAGCCATGCATGGTGGTGGGCACCTATAATCCCACCTACTCAGGAGGTTGAGGCAGGAGAATCGCTTGAACCAGAGAGGCAGAGGTTGCCGTTAACTGAGATCACACTACTGCACTCCAGCCGGGGCAACAACAACAAAAAAACTGACTTGTTATTGAAATAATCCACATAGGATGTGCTGTTCCTCATCCCATCAAAACAAAGACAGGGGGCTGGAAAGCACAGCTGTTTACATGTAACTCCAGAATTTAAGCTTTAGTTTCTTTCAGACCACAGAAGGCAGAGATGTGAGAAGAGGAGCATGATCAGGTAAGAAACGCAGAAAAGGGAGCATCCATTTTTTTTCTTCTTGGCTTGGTCTCTGCTACCATGTCGTTAGCTATAACCCACCTCAGAAGTCTGCTTTCCAAAGATTAACTTTTAAAATCTTTACATTTCTTCCTAAAAGACTGAGTAAAAAGAAAAAGACCCAAAAATGCCAACAAAGCATTCTTTCAAAATTACTCATGGTACCCATAACAATGCCAGGGTCCTACCTTAGTTTGGGGGCAAAGGGAGGCGGACAGGGAGACTTCAAACTTAATTAAACCAAAAGAATTGTCAAAAACATTTAGAGACCAGAGTGGCTCACACCTCCTGGAATCCCAGAACTTTGGGAGGTCAAGGCAGATGGATCACCTGAGTCCAGGAGTTCAAGACCAGCCCAGGCAACATAGCAAAACCCCATGTCTAAAATAAATAAATAAATAAATAAAAAACAAAAAACCAGCCAGGTGTGGGAGTACACACCTGTAGTCCCAGCTACTTGCAAGGCTGAGGTGGAAGGACTGCTTGAGCCCAGGAGATGGAGGCTACAGTGAGCTGAGATCAAACCACTACACTCCAGCCTGGGCAACAGAGCAAACTCTGTCTCCAGAAAATAATTTTTTTTTTTTTTTTAAAAAGTATTTCAAGTTTGGGTATTACATAAGATTTCATTGACAGAAAACACATCTACCTTGACCAAAATATCCAGATTTCAAAAAAATACTACTATAATTATTCTAGAGAAACAATAATTGGTTTGATGCAAGTTCTACTATGAACAAACTAGATTTTGATAACTGCATTTATTTTCCCCAGAACCTATTTTTCATGGTTCATAAGTTCATTTTATTTTCTTTTTTCTAAGTGAGGACATTTTTAATGGCGTCCAAATAAGGACAGAAGTTACACAGACTTGAGCGTGCAGGCCGGTTGTCTGCAGTATGCAAATCACACCTGTCACAGAGGTTTGGGGACTCCGTCTGTACCAACAATTCACTTTCTTTTTCCTCTTTTATAGCATCTCTGTTCTACCTGAAGTGAAACCAGGCCACCCAGATTATATACTTTGGTTTAAATTTGTGACTGCTGATGCAGCTCTGCAAAAAGCCCTGATGGGCCGATTCTTCATACCCCAAACACTCCTTCGGCTACAAGGATTCTAAGACCAAAGCAAAGGGCCGAGGCAACTAGCCAGAAACCAACTAGCCAGACGCATTATCTGCTGTAAAAGGGCAGCAGACCTGGGGTCAAGGCTTGGATCGTGTTATGATTTCTGTCACCAAGTAACTATGTGACTTTGAGCAACACATAGAATTTACTGAAAACTGAGTTTTCCTCTCATGAGGTGGCATCACAACATCTCCCTCACATATTTTACAAAACGATGATAAAAATAAAATGATGGCTGGGTGTGCTGGCTCACACCTATAATCCCAGCACTTCAGGAGGCTAAAGCTGGAGGATTGCTTGAGCTTAGGAGTTTGAGACCAGCTTTGGCAACATAGTGAGATCCCCTTCTCTAAAAAAATTTTTAAAATTAGCCAGGTGTGGTACTGTGCATCTGTAGTCTTAGCTACTTGGGAGGCTGAGACAGGAAGATCACTTAAGCCCAGGAGCTCAGGGCTGCAGTGAGCTACTATTGTGCCACTGCACTACAGCCTGGGCTGAAAAATAATAAAAATAATAAAATAAAAATAAATAAAACAGTTATTCACAAAATGACTTTTCAAAGTCGTATTTCAAAAGAAATACCAGTATTCTTGTTTGAAATTTCACAGCCATGAGTGTCCTATTGGCTAAGCATATTATAATAATCTATTATTAAGAGTATTAGGCCAGTTGATAACCATAAAATCTGTGGCTGGTTCCTTTGGCATGAGAATGGCATGGTCTATCAGTTCCTGTGTGGCATACCAGGACTGCCACTGTCCCAGCAACTCATCTGTACTGCCACACTCATTCTGTATCTAACCAATGCGGTGCTCTATCACACACTGTTAAGGACTCTCATGGGGGTCTTTTAAACAGGGGTTGGCAAACTATGGCCCATGAGCCAGATCTGGCCCACTGCCTGTTTTTTTATAAACAAAGTTTTACTGGAACACAGTGACAACTGTTCATTTACATATTATCTGCTAAGCCTGCTTTCCTGCTATTGCAGCCAACTTAAATAGCTGCACTAGGCCCCGTTCAGCCTTTAAAACCTAACATGTTTACTGTCTGGCCCTTTGGTGAAAGTTTTGCCAACCCCTGACCTAAATCATCAACCAGGATTCCCCAAAACATTGGCCACAGCGAATACTCTTCTGGGCTCTTAACATTTTAGGCATCCACTGGGGGGTCTTAGCTCATATCCCTTGCGGATAAGAGGGGACGACTGTACAGAGCAATAGAAAGAACTTCCCTTGTCTTTTTCAGCATGTGATTTTGGGGTAGATACATGTGATGCTCTCTAAGCATCCCCATGTGACAATAATGTGGAAGTCGGCTTGTACAGGTGAGGTGTAAGGTCGTGCTCATCATGACAAACACTATTTTGATGCTAATCCTAACTCTATCCTTTTTCCACAAAACGTACTATTAACTATGTAAATAAAAAGCATTCATTTTCCCATTTCTTTAAGATATAAAAATATAAATATTGGGAGAGCCAAATTCTTGCTTTATTACAACCCTCCCGTTTTACAGATGAGGAAACTGAGAGCAAGTTAAATGACTTGTCTAAAAGCTAAGAATCAGCAGCTGATTCAAGCTCTTCCCTCAAACCTGTACTAATTTCATGTATTATTCAGTCATAAGGACACATCTTTTTGTTGAAAAATCTCTATAGAATAAAATATCTGGTTAACCTTACTCTGACTCGCACAGTATTAGACCAATAACACTATGAAGATATTACTAATATTTTGCATATTACATTAAACAAGCAAAAATCCCATTACCATTTTGCACCTGTCATAACTATAATCTTCATGCAATGAAAAATGTTAACTGCAAACTCAGGGTTGAGCCAATTCTCTTTCACTAATGTCAAATCTAAAAATCTCTAATTTAATACAGTAACACATGTAAAGAAGCTACAAAACTAAAGCGGAATGTACATTGCTGAGCGGAGAGGAATAAATACAGAAATGAATACGACTTTTACCTCCATCTGCAAAGCTTCAGCCAATCCCCTTATGGCAAACTTGGATGCAGAGTAGGCTGTGAAACCAAATAATCCCAACTGTCCTGCCTGGGAGGACACAAACACGATCCTGCCCACCCGGCGCTCCTTCATGGTGGTGATCACGGCCCGGCTGGGGTACACGCTGCCCAGGTAATTGATGCTCATTAACCTCTGCAGGGAACAAAGAGTTCACATGAGGAGGGCATGAGGTCAAAAGCCCCAAGGCCGTGCTCGTGGAGAATTTAGTCTGGTTCTTCAGTGCAAGCTCAAGTGACTGGGAAGCTCAACACACTTGCTGAATGAATGAATGATTACATGACGCTATAAACGAAATGTGATTTGAGGCCTACCATTTGAAGCCTCAGGACTTCCCATTTGAAGCCTGTTTCAGTCTAGTCTTGCATTCTGACCACTGACAGCAGTTATGTTTTTCCTGAAAACTGGTCGAAGTTAGTTTTCTCCTTATAAAAAGAATACTGCACGTCTGCGGGTAGTACTTTCTGAAAGACAGTTTTAGGAAAGAGCTTTCAAGTATTTTCAGCCCTATTGGTTCTAAGCTATAAGAAAAGCACAAAGGGAATAGGAACGTGATTTAAAGTTTTGGTTTCAAGCCTTGGCTCTACCATTTATTGCCTATACGATGATGAATAAGAAAGTCAGACATTCTGCTCATTTTCTCGGCTGAAAACAAGGTTGATGTGGGCACGACTGCATAGGGCTGTGGCAAGGGTTAAGAGAGAAAACACAAGTTAAGCACTAGCCCAGCCCTCGGCCTCAAGAACCACTGGCTCTCCCATTATGATGGGTAAGAGTACTAATAGTATATTTTCTCCTCGTCTTGCAAGCTATTAATTTTTATTTATTTATTTTTTACTATTATCATTTTTCTTTAGAGACAGTGTCTCACTCTGTCCCCCAGGCTAAAGTGCAATGATGCAACATCGGCTCACTGCAGTTTCAACCTCCTGGGTTCAAGCAATCCTCTTGCCTTAGCCTCTTGAGTAGCTGGGACTACAGGCACATGCTACCACGCCCAGCTAAATTTTGTATTTTTTGTAGTGACAGAGTCCTCTTATTTTGCCTAGGCTGGTCTCAACTCTTGGGCTCCAGCAATCCTCCTGCCTTGACCTCCCAAAGTGACAGGATTACAGGAATGAGGCACTGTGCCCAGCCCAAACTCTTAAAAACCATAATTTTTAACTTGAAAATCTAAAATACTTGCATTGAATGTTTCAAATATTTAAATATTTGTAAAAATATTAGATCATCATGTAAATAAAAACTAAATACCTCAATTATGGAACTTGAGATCAATCATAATTCTTTTTCATATTATGGAAAGAACATGAACATAAAATCATAATATCTTAATTCAAGAGAATTTCAGATTTTTTTTTTTTTTTTTTTAAGACGGGGTTTCACCCTGTTGGTCAGGCTGGTCTTGAACTCCCTGCCTCAGGTGATCCGCCCGCCTTGGCATCCAAAGTGCTTGGATTACAGGCGTGAGCCACCACGCCCAGCCAGACTTTTTTTTTTTTTTTTTTTGAGATAGAGTTTCACTTTTGTTGCCCAGGCTGGAGTGTAGTGGCACGATCTCAGCTCACTGCAACCTCTGCCTCCTAGGTTCAAGTGATTTTCCTGCCTCAGCCTCCCAAGTAGCTGGGATTACAGGCACCCACCACCCCACCCAGCTAATTTTTTGTATTTTTAGTAGAGATAGAGTTTTGTCATGTTTGCAGGACTGGTCTTGAACTCCTGACCTCAGGTGATCCGCCTGCCTTGGTCTCCCCCAAAATGCTGGGATTACAGGTGTGAGCCACCACACCCGGCTTAGATAATTTTTTTAAATGATGACCAGAAACACTGGGAGTGACAGGGGAAAATATCTACGCTATTTAAGTTTAAAAGGCAGAGGCCAGACTGTATGTACACTGGAACAGTAATTACTTCAAAGGCCAAGTAAAAGTACACATTCTCAGAGGGAAGACCAAGGAAATACAGATCATAAGTGATTGAGTTAGGATGCTGGGATTCTCATTATTTTCCAAAAATGTGTTTTAATAGCATAACATTGTTTTGATAATAAAAATGTTCTAAGCCGGGCATGGTGGCTCACACCTGTAATCCCAGAACTTTGGGAGGTTGAGGCAGGTGGATCACCTGAGGTCAGGAGAATTGAGACCAGCCTCATCTCTACTAAAAATACAAAAAGAGTTAGGTGGGTGTGGTGGGGGGAACTTGTAAAATCCCAGTGTCTCGGGAGACTCAGCCAGGAGAATCACTTGAGCCCAGGAGGTGGAGGTTGCAGTCACCCAAGATTGTGCCACTGCACTCCAGCCTGGGTGACCGAGCAAGACTCCATCTCAAAAAAAAAAATAAAGAAAGTTTTAAAAGAATATCTGAAAAAAGACAGACAGTACACTGAACACGTGTTTACCTCTACTCCCTTTAGAGAGCTTGCTAAAATCTCAGTAAAGAGATTTTTTTTTTTGAGACACAAGTCTCACTCTGTCTCACAGGTTGGAGTCGGTGGTGTGATCTCAGCTCACTGCAACCTCCACCTCCCGGGTTCAAGCAATTCTCCTGCCTCAGCCTCCTGAGTAACTGGAACTACAGGCGTGTGTCACCACACCTGGCTAATTTTTTTTTTTTGGTATTTTTAGTAGAGACAGGGTTTCACCATATTGGCCAGGCTGGTCTCAAACTCCCAGCCTCACGATCCGCCCACCTCAGCCTCCCAAAGCTCTGGGATTACAGGCGTGAGCCACCATGCCCAGCCAGAGATTTTTTTAAAGGCAAGAACCCACAAGAACAAAGAAAAGAGGAGTAAGTGACAGCAATAACCTTTTGGAAGCTGAAGAACAGATTGATGAGGGATAACTAACTTAGCAGACCACAAAAAACTAAACTGTAAGTGGGGAGTGGAGAAACTAAAAAGCCAGATTCTACCACAAGAACCCAAAAGGCTCTAGCCGCGGGAGTCTCCGGGGTGGAGGGAAACATGGCCAGCATAGGGCTGAGACAGGAGCTGAGACTAAGAGTCTATCTTAGCTGACTAATGAGCAGTCAGCTAGAAACAGTCCAAATGGCCATCAATGAATAGATAAACAGAATGTGGTTGATCCATGCAATGGAATATTATCACCCTATAAAAAAGGAATGAAGCACCCAAATATGCTATATGTAGATGAGTCTCAAAAATATGATGCTAAGAGAAAGGCCAGGCACAGAAGGGCACATATTATATGATTCGAATCATACGAAATTATCAGAGACCAGAGAGACAGAATACAGATGGGTGGTTGTCAGAGACTGGGTGTGGGGCAAGCAGGGACAGGGAGCCACTGCTCAGCAGGTGGGGGGCTGCCCTCCAGGTGAGGCAGATGTTTGGGATCCAGGCAGAGGTGGTGGGTGCGCCACACTGTGAATGTGCTCAATGTCTCTGCGTGGTTCACTTTAAAAATGGTTAATTCTATGTTATACGAATTTCACCTCAATTTAAAAAAATGATGTGGGACAATGGGGAAAAAAAAGGCAGTTAGATCTTAGATGCCTTTCCCCTCTCTGCAGAGCAGATCTGCACCCCTCTTCCAGCCTGGCAGAAGACTAAGGTTTCAGTTTCTTTTTTTTTTTTTCGAGATACCGTCTTGCTCTGTCACCCAGGCTAGAGTGCAGTGGCGCGATCTCGGCTCACTGTAACCTTTACCTCCCGGATTCAAGGGACTCTCCTGCCTCAGCCTCCCACACAGCTGGGACTACAGGCAGGTGCCACCACACTCTTCCCAGATGCATAGTTACAAAAGGCTGGAGGACTCTCCTCAGGGCTTCTGACCAACCCAAGAGAAAAGATTTACAGATAATGACATTGAAACTACATCCACAGGCACAGAAGTCTCAGTCACCTTGCTAGTGCCTGATTCTGAAATGTGAAAACACAGCCAAGGGCCTCCAGCCTTCCAGCGAAGTCACACCAAAGAGAAAGCTACTGACCTCATAGAGAAAATAAACACAGGTACGAAGCAGAGACAATGAAAGGACGAAAGAATACCTTAAGAGAATTCTCCTTAACATCTACAGGGAGATAAGAAGAGAGACAGCGCCAAGAAACCACAAAGAAAACCACTGAAAAGGAAAATTAAGAGAAGAGTATTGGGATTCCCCAAGACCATGCCCAGGCTGATGATTCACTAGAAGGTCTACATGCTCAGCAGATGGTCCTACACAGGACTAAGATTTATTACAGGGAAAGGATGCAAAGCAAAATCAGCAAAGAGAAAAGACACAGGGAGAAAAGTCCAGAAGAAATCAGGTGCAAGTTCCAACAGTCCTCTTTCAGTGGAGTCACACAGGACATGCTTAATTCTCGCAGCAATGAGTTGTGACAACACATGCCAAAGTACTATGCACAATCTATTTATTTATTTATTTATTTACTTACTTACTTACTTACTTACTTACTTATTACAAAGTCTCACTCTGTTGGCCAGGCTGGAGTGGAGGGGTGCGATCTTGACTCACTGCAACCGCTGCTTCTTGGGCTTAAGCAATTCTCCTGCCTCAGCCTCCTTCTGAATAGCTGGGAGTATAGGCGCATGCCACCATGTCTGGCTAACTTTTGCATTTTTAGTAGAAATGGGGTGTCACCATGTTGGCCAAGCTGGTCTCAAACTCCTGACCTCAAATTATTCACCAGCCTCGGCCTCCCAAAGTGCTGAGATTACAAGCATGAGCCACCACATCTGGCCTGTGTACAGGCATTTTACATGCATGTGAATGTCAATAAAATTAAAAACTAAAAATAATAAAGCAAACATATAACTGAGATAGAATTCATTTTAAATGAAAACAATTTCCTATCATTCGAAAATGCATCAAGTGTGGTATAGGTTGAGTGTCCCTTATCCAAATGCTTGGAATAAGAAACGTTTTGGATTTGGGGTTTTTTTGGATTTTGGAATACTGTATTGTACTATCAGTTCAGAATCCATAATCTGAAAATCTGAAACCCAAAATGCTCCAAGAGGCATTTCCTTTGAGCATTATGTTGGCGCTCAAAAAGTTTCAGATTTTGAGCCGAGTGCAGTGGCTTACACCTTGTAATCCCAGTACTTTGGGAGGCTAAGGTGGGCAGATCACCTGAGGTCAGGAGTTCAAGACCAGCCTGGCCAACATGGCTAACACAGCAGGCAAGAAGAACCTTTAAAACTGAAACGCAGACCAGGCACGGTGGCTCACGCCTGTAATCCTAGCACTTGAAAGACCAAGGCAGACGGATCACGAAGTTAGAAGATCAAGACTATCCTGGCTAACACAGTGAAATCCCATCTCTACTAAAAATGCAAAAAATTAGCCGGGCGTGGTAGTACACGTCTGTAGTCCCAGCTACTCGGGAGGTTGAGGCAGGAGAACCTCTTGAACCTAGGAGACAGAGGTTGCAGTCAGTCAAGATCGTGCAACTGCACTCTAGCCTGGACAACATAGCAAGACTCTGTCTCAAAACAAAAACAAAAACCTGAAATCCTGAAACGCAGATCACATGGCTTCCTAGCCAAGCTTAAAACCCTCAAAGTTTTGGATGAAAATCCACAGTCCTCTCGCAGGCCTTCGGGGTCCAGAGACCCTGCCCCACACTGCCCTTCACTCGGGAAGCTCCAGCCACAGGCGCCTCCTAGTCAATCCCTGCACTTTCCCAGCTCTGTCCCACCTGGGGGCCTGCAGCTGGTCTTCTCCACCCCTCCCCTTGTCTCTTTTCACTCATTCTCCAGCTCTCCAGTCCCCGATGGAGCCCCCCTCGCCCCATTCCCTCTCTATCCAAGCCCGCTGCTTTCGTTCCTCTGTGGCTCCTGCTCTCAGATGCTGTCATGTCTGCCTGCCCGTGAGTGGTCTGTCCTGCCTTATGGGGACCAAAACTTTATTTTCCTGCTTGTCCCTGCAACCCCAGGATCCAGACCAACGCTTGACATGCTAGGCATTCTCTTGATACATGTGTGAATTCAATGTGTAAAATGGGAAGGAAATGAATTTATGAAACAGCTGCTAGGGGCTAAGCGACACAGAGACATGATGGGACTCAGGCCTCACAGTTCTGTGCCCATTTTACAGAGACAGCAGCTGAGGCTTGGAGAAAAGCTGAGGCCAGAAGAAAATAGAATGCCTTGCTTGAGTCACATGGTTGGTACTGTAAGTGGTTAGACTTAAAACCATAAGAGGTGAGATCTGGAACTGGTTTAGTCTGATGCCAAAGCCCACCTTTCTATTATGGTCCCACGTTGCCAAAAAGTGGCAACAGAGGCAGTCCACACCAGGGGTATAGGGGTGGGAGAGATGCTGGTGGTCACAGTAAAGAAATCAAACTGTGATTCTTTTCAAAAAGAAAGAGAGAGAAGAAAAGAAAGGGCAGTGTGAATGGAAGACTAAAGGTTGAGAGTCCAAGTGAGTTTTTTTAAAAAATCAGAATTGAGGCTGGGTGCAGTTGCTCATGTCTATAATCCCAGCAATTTGGGAGGCTGAGGCAGGCAGATCATAAAGTCAGGAGATTGAGACCATCCTGGCTAACATGGTGAAACCCATCTCTACTGAAAATTTAAAAAAATTAGCCAGGTGTGGGGGCATGCACCTGTAGTCCCAGCTACTGGGGAGGCTGAGACAGGAGAATCGCTTGAACCAGGGAGGCAGAGGTTGCAGTGAGCCAAGATCTCACCACTGCACTTCAACCTGGGCAACAGAGCGAGACTCCATCTAAAAAAAAAAAAAAATCAGAATTGTGCATTTTGAAATATCTCAACATGCTTCATATTACATGACGTGTATTTTTACGTCTTCCCTCATCTCATCTGCTTTACGTTTTTTCCTTGTCATTGATACCCACACACATTCACCTGTTATTATACACTCAGTTCTTCTATTCTTGTTCATCGTCATACACCTCCATGAAATATCCCATTATCCTGGTGCTTCTATCACACACACGAGTCACACAATCTCTCACTGAGCCCTAACAGACATGCCCACTTCCCAAGGTCCTTGCTTTACAGCTATGCATTTATTTATTACAACCATGCAACTACTTACTCCTCAATCCACTCTCTGCCTGCCATATTCAGTCAAGATGAATCTACCGATTCTTCCTCCTTACCTTACACACAGGCACGCATACACACATGTGCATACACACATGCACATGTAGACGCACATACCCCACTTTTTCTGGCTACCTCCCGAGTCTTTTGTTTGATCACGTCATGCCTAGGCTGCGACAATTATTATCCCTAATTGATTTTTTACCCAGCTGTTGACATAATCTTCAAAATCACCCTTCCAGTCCTTACGGATGAAGGTACACAGGCCTGGACAGCGCTCTTCCATGCCTGGTTGATAAAGGGGCCTTAAGACACTCAAGTTGCATTCCTCTGCTTGTATCTACATCTTGGCTCTCCTGACTTGCCTTAAGAAAATCAGAGTTCCTGATGCTTTCCCATAGCCTACCAGAAGCAAGAGAGATCTACAGTATTGGTCCAGCAGTTGCTTTTCCTACAGAAGCAGAATGTAATGGAACTTCAAACATTCAAAATTCATCATTTCAATGAAACCTCAATAGAACCCAAAGAAAAAGATGGTTAGGCCAGGCGCAGTACAGCACCCTGGGAAGACAAGCTGGGCAGATCATGTGAACCCTGGAGTTTGAGAACAGCCTGGACAACACAGCAAAACTCCATCTCTCAAAAAAAAACAGAAAAATGAGCCAAGTGTGGCAGTGTGCACCTGAATTCCCAGCTACTTAGGAGGCAAAAGTGGGAGGACTGGGTACAATGAACCAAGATTGCACCACTGCACTCCAGCCTAGGTGACAGAGTGAGACCTTGTCTCAAAAAAAAAAAAAAAAAAAAAAAAAAAGGCTGGGCATGGTGGCTCATGCCTGTAATTCCAGCACTTTGGGAGGCCAAGGCAGGAGTATCACAAGGTCAGGAGTTCCAGACCAGCCTGGCCAACAAGGTGAAACCCTGTCTTTACTAAAAATATAAAAATTAGCTGAGCGTGGTAGTGGGTGCTTGTAGTCCCAGCTGCTTGGGAGGCTGAGGCACAAGAATTGCTTGAGCCAGGGAGGCAGAGGTTGCAGTAAGCTGAGATTGCGCCACTGTACTGCAAACTGGGGGACAGAGCAAGACTATCTCAAAAAAAAAAAGAAAAGAAAAGAAAGAAAGAAAGAAGATTGCTGATGCACTGCCAACTGAAAAACACTTTCTATTTTAAAAACATTTCAGACCGGGCGTGGTGGCGCATGCCTACAATCCCAGCACTTTGGGAGGCTGAGGTGGGTGGATCACTTTAGGTCAGGAGTTTGAGACCAGCTGGGTCAACATGGCGAAACCCTGTCTCTACTAAAATACAAAAAATTAGCTGAGCATGGTAATGTGTGCCTGGCTACTCGGGAGGCTGAGGCAGGAAAATTGCTTGAACCCAAGAGGCGGAGGTTGCAGTGAGCTGAGATCACACCATTGCACTCCATCCTGGGTAACTGAATGAAACTCCATCTCAAAAAAAGAACAAAAAAATTTTCAAATCTAATGTTCATTTCTTTGGTGCTAAAATAAATTACCAAGAGAAGTTCCTTGGTAAACTTGATTAAAAATATAAACATCGGGCCGGGCACGGTGGCTCAAGCCTGTAATCCCAGCACTTTGGGAGGCCGAGGTGGGCGGATCACAAGGTCAAGAGATCGAGACCATCCTAGCCAACATGGTGAAACCCCGTCTCTACTAAAAATAAAAAAAATTAGCTGGGCATGGTGGGGCGTGCCTGTAATCCCAGCTACTCAGGAGGCTGAGGCAGAAGAATTGCCTGAACCCAGGAGGCGGAGGTTGCGGTGAGCCGAGATCGCGGCATTGCACTCCAGCCTGGGTAACAAGAGCGAAACTCCATCTAAAAAACATATAAAAAATCATATAAACATCAATAAGATGCAGTATCTTTTTATCTTGATTTGAGAATTCTAGTGAGTCTGTTCTTCAACTTTTTTGGTTTCTCCTTGTTAATAATACTGATATTGCACATGAACAACCAGCAACTCTTAGATTACAAAGTGCTCTCTTGAAAATAGGACCTCAGTGAATTGCTACAGTAATCTGTGTCAGATTAGAAGTTCCATTCTCATTTTAGCTGTCTTCTCAGCTGTAAAATGTCTAAACTCTTAAGGTTTGATGGTCACGGCACTAGGATCAACACCTTGTTCAGCCTTACTCTGGTCTTCTAAAGCTTCCATGGACACCTGAAAGCATTCATCATATTCATTTTTAAAGCTTTTACCTGTGGCTTGCTCTATTTTTAGCATATGTGCTACCCCAGCAAAGAAATGTTTTTACTTACTTCAAAGGTACTAACTTCAAGATCTTCAAATTTTCCTGACACTGCCATTCCTGCACAATTTACAAGCATGTCCACTGGACCCAGTTTCTCCTGTGCCTAGAAAGATGTAGCAGAGCAGGCATTAAGAAACAGAAAAGAAAAACCACTCAGCAACAAATCCATGCTAATAAATAAAATCTAAAAAACTATTAAACCTGTGCCCATTACAAGCCACACAGCAAAATGGCAAGAATGAATCAAACGTCAAGCACATGGGTGAATTCCAATTAGCCCAACTTCTTACTTGTTTTATGACATTCTCTACTTGGTTATAGTCTTGAGATACATCAACTGATATGCAAAGCACCACCTGTTAAAAAAAAAAGTGGTCAAAGTCTTGCAGGTACAAAACTATTTTTAAAGAAATCTTTTAAAGAAAAGACAATTCATTGAATACAGAAGGAAGCCAATATTGAATGAACAGATTTCAGTGTTTGCTGATGATGCAATTAGTAGGATCTGATTTTCTTGGCAGCTTCTGGAGTTAAAACTCTGAAGAATCTTTTAAGAAATATAAAAATACTCCTCTTGAAATGCCACTAATCTATAGTGACAGAAGGCAGATCAGGGGTTTCCCAGGGCCAGGCACAGAGGATGGAAGGAACTGTGAAAGGGCATGGGCAGACCCTAGAAAGTGATGAAATATTCCGTATCAGGGCCTCGATGCTGATTCCTTCCAAGAAGGAATACTGTCCAAATGATAAAAATTCCTAAGAACAGGAAACAGCCCTCTTTGCAAATATAACCTGAAGCATTCTGGTCTACAGGGGTTGCCCTTGGCTGTAATGTATACCCAGAATGGATTTTATCCCCACATCCTCACATAGAAAACATTGTTTTAAGAGAAGTAGTAGTCAGCCAGGCATGATGGCTTGTGCCTGTGATCCCAGAATTTTGGGAGGCCAAGGCAGGTGGATCATTTGAGGTCAAGAGTTAGAGACCAGCCTGGCCAACATGGTGAAACCCTGTCTCTACTAAAAATACAAAAAATTAGCCTGGCATGGTGGCAGGCACCTGCAATCCTAGCTACTCGGGAGGCTGAGGCAGGAGAATTGCTTGAACACAGGAGATAGAGGCTGCAGTCAGCCAAGATCACATCACTGCACACCAGCCTGGGTGACAGAGTAACACTCCATCTCAAAAAAAAAAAAGGTAGTAGTAATCATATGATTAATTTTAAAACATGCCTTTTTATACAGTATTAAATCAGTTACTATAAATAAAATCTATGCCACAGACAAGCGAAATTTCAAAACAAAAAAATGTTAACAAGTCACATACACACAAAAATGGTCCATAAAAGCCTGGCAGGGTGGACAAAGGATCAAGCACATTCTTGCCTGCCCCAGCCCTAACTCCCTTCCTTGATGTGAAATGTAAGTTTTCCACCTGACCTAAAGCTCTTTGGTAGATGAAGAGGTGGAAAGTGTCATGATGAGGAAGCCCAGAGCAGAGATGGTGTTGGCAGCAGGCAAGACTGGCCTTGGCCATGAACACTGACTCCATGGCTTCACACCACACTCCTTTCTCTATCAGAAATTACAGGAATACGGGAAAAAATAGGGCAATTTACAAAGCTGGCATTCTTCCAATGCTTGTGGGCTTCAGAGAAGGGGGTTCAAGTAAAGACCATAGTCCTAGAGAAAAATTCACATGTACAGAAGATATACACAAGGATTTTTACCTGCAGCGCAGATTGCAATTGCAAAAATAAAAATAAAATATATATATAAAAAGAATGGAAACAGCTCAATAGCAAGGAACCCATGGCTTAAGCTCTGGTGTTCTTCAATCCTAGGCTGTAGCAATTCAAGGCAAATTTATTTAATGCACATGGAAAAATCGTTAACATTCTGGACGGGAAAAAGTTAATGAATACCACAGTGAAATACTATTTAAAACTCATCACAAAGGCAAAAAGTAAGAAGTCTGCCAATACCAAGTGTTGGCAGGGATGTGGTGCAACAGGAACCACAGTTCTACTTGTGGGAGCTTAACTGCCTTGGTGAGGCTGAAGAGCTGCGTACACTACAGCTCTGTAATTCCATTTCTGGGTATGTACCATTCTTGCACATCTGCACAAAGAGAATAGTGAAAGCTTTTCTCATAGCAAAAAACAAACAAACAAATTGGAAAAAACCTAAATATCCACCAACTGCTGATGAACCAAAAATAGTCTATCCATGCAACAGAATACTATATAGCAGTAAAAAAAACCCACAAAACTCCAACTTTATGCAGCAACATAAATGAATTTTTAAAATTTTATATATATTTATTTAGAGACAGAGTCTCCCTCTGTCGCCCAGGCTGGAGTACGGTGGTGTGATCTTGCCTCACCTCAAGCTCTGCCTCCCAGATTCAAGTGATTCTCCTGCCTCAGCCACCCTCCTGAGTAGCTGGGATTACAGGCACAGCAAATTTTTCTCTATTTTTAGTAGAGATGGGGTTTCACCATGTTGGCCAGGCTAATCTCAAACACCTGACCTCAAGTGATCTGTCCATCTTGGACTCCTAAAGTGTTGGGATTATAGGCATGAGCCGCCACAACTGGCCTTAAAAATAATGTTGAGTGAAGAAATCAAGCTGCATAAGAAGCATAAAGAATGAAGTTATACAAATCTACAGAGAAAGAAAGTAGATGAGTGACTGCTTAGCTGAGAGGAGGCTGGCAGGAAATGGCAAGTGACTGCTGATACAGACGGAGATTCTTTACGGGGTAAGAAAAACATTCTAAAATTGATTCTGGTGATAGTTGCACTACTCCATGAATATATTAAAAATTGTTAACTCTATGGTATGTGAATTATATCTCATAAAGCTGTTAAAAAGTAAGAATGATATCATAAAAGAAGTAGAAGTAAATATACTGGCCTGGCACGGTGGCTCACACCTGTCATCTTAGCACTTTGAGAGGCTGAGGCAGGCGGATCACCTGAGGTCAGGAGTTCCAGACCAGCCTGGCCAACATGGCGAAACCCTATCTCTACTAAAAATATTTTAAAAATTAGGTGTGGTGGCATGTCCTGTAACCCCAGCTAGTCAGGAGACTGAGGCAGGAGAATCACTTGAACCTGAGAGGTAGAGGTTGCAGCGAGCCAAGATGGCACCACTGCACTCCAGCCTGGGTGACAGAGACTTCGCCTCAAATAAAATACAATATATTATTTAGAATCACATGCGTATATGGTAAAATTGAAAAGATAAAGAGATGGGGCACCGTGCTCATTCCAGCACTTTGGGAGGCAAAGGTAGGCAGATCAATTGACCAAAGGAGCTGAAGACTAACTTGGGCAACATGGCAAAACTCCATCTCTACCAAAAATATTTAAATTAGTCACGTCTGATGGCATGTGCTTATAATCCCAGCTGATGTGGGAGGATCGCTGGAGCCTGGGAGGCCAAGGCTACAGTGAACTGAGATTGCACCCCTACACTCCAGCCTGAATGACAGAGTGTGACACTATCTCAAAAAAGAAAGAAAGAAAGAAGGCCGGGCACGGTGGCTCAAGCCTGTAATCCCAGCACTTTGGGAGGCCGAGGTGGGTGGATCACGAGGTCAAGAGATCGAGACCATCCTGGTCAATATGGTGAAACCCCGTCTCTACTAAAAATACAAAAAATCAGCTGGGCATGGTGGCACATGCCTGTAATCCCAGCTACTCAGGAGGCTGAGGCAGGAGAATTGCCTGAACCCAGGAGGCGGAGGTTGCAGTGAGCCAAGATCGTGCCATTGCACTCCAGCCTGGGTAACGAGCAAAACTCCATCTCAAAAAAAAAGAAAGAAAGAAAGAAAAAGGAAAAGAAAAACAAAGGAGGGATCAACACAAAAAACTGGGTTGGCATTTGTGCCTCTAGGAACGAGAAAAGAGAGACGAGGCTGCTGTGGGGCATAGAGGGGGCTTCAGAGACCCTGATCAATTCTATTTCTTAGGTTGGGTGATGGATGTGTCATTACCAATTTGTTATTATGTTTTATACTAAAATATATATAGCATTTTATTCATCAAAAATTCCATAACCAAATAAATTTTAAATATTCCTTTCCTCTTAAGCATTTGTATAAAGTTCATTTAAATACATAATTAAAATGAAATCATTTGCCAGTAAAACATTCTGTTATTTGACCAGTTGTAGATATGAATGTGTGTGGGAGTCTATTCGTTGTGTGTGTGTAATATTCTGAGAGGTAGAGGTAGAGGTTTTTAAATTTCACCTTTTTAAAAACAGTATAGTATGTTTTAAATTGGGAAAATCATATGTGCTTTCAATTAATTATTCAGTTGAAGTAACCCTGTTTTTCCTTTATACAACTGTGCTGAGTTCTGCAGAAAATGCATCTGAAAATAGAGATTTACCTGTTTATCATTAATAGAGTGCTTTTCAATTTCTTTCTTTGCCTGCAGCAGCTTGTCCTGAAAGCAATACAGAACAATCAGTCCTAGTGATTGTTATATGTATGTCTGTCTGTTGCAGCAGAGAGAAAAAAAGCAATTATTTGTATATATATACATTAAATTCCAGAAAATACACGAAACAGTATCTACATTACATAGGCAGACTGGGTCACAGCCTACAAAAGAAAGAAGCTGTGAAGTATGTTAAACTATGAATAAGTGATAACAAGTTTGAAAATTCATTACAAGGCTGGACGTGGTGGCTCACGCCTGAAATCCCACCGCTCTGGGAGGCTGAGGTACACAGACCACAAGGACAAGAGATCGAGACCATCCTGGCCAATGTGGTGAAATCCTGTCTCTACTAAAAATACAAAAAGAAGTTGGGCATGGTGGTGCACACCTGTAGTCCCAGCTACTCAGGAGGCTGGGGCAGAAAAATTGCTCGAACCTGGGAGGCAGAGGTTGCAGTGAGCCAAGATCACACCACTGCACTCCAGATCCTTGACAGAGCAAGACTCCGTCTCAAAAAAAAAAAAAAAAGAAGAAAAAGAAAATTCATTACGGAGAAAGATAAGAGAAAAACAGATAAACCTCAAAATCCCAATTAACAGTACTGACTGCTTAGGCTGACTGTACAGTTCTAATAAATGTTTTGATTTTATTATTTAGTTGTAATATAAGATAAGAACTACCCTACTGATGAGCAGTGCTCCCCAAAGTTGAGGGGATGTGTGACTCCCTGTCAACACTGCTTTTTGTCTAATATTTTCTTCTTCTACTATAAAACCAAAAATAAGAATCACTTTCTGGATGGACTGGCTATTATAAAATACTCTTAAGACAAGCAAGGTTACCCATGTAATTGAGTAATTCTTCCAAGGTCCTAATTTTTTTTGTTTTACTTACTCTCAAGAAAACACATACCAGATTATAGTTTAATTTGCTGTAAAAAGTAACTTAAATAATATCCTGCAATAGAGAGGAACAAAAGGGGAGATGAATTCTTCTGAAAGGCATGCAGGGTTTCTAAACCTGAATGTGTCTATAATAAAATAATATTGTCCTGTGACTAAAGATATATACGGCTTGACTTTGCAAGAACTGGAATTAAAAATTACATTAGAAAAAAAAGAATTTCTCGGCCAGACACTGTGGCCAGGTGCAGTTGCTCACGGTTGTAATCCCAGCACTTCAGGAGGCCAAGGTGAGCAGATCACCTGAGCTCAGGAATTCAAGACCTGCCTGGGCAACATGGTGAAACCCTGTCTCTACCAAAAATACAAAAACTTAGCCAAGTGTGGTGGTGAGCACCCATGGTCTCAGCTACTCAAGGGGCTGAGGTGGGAGGACTGACTGAGCCTGGGAGGCGGAGGTTGCAGTGAGCTGAGACTGTGCCACTGTACTCCAGCCTGGGCAACAGAGTGAGGCCGGGCATAGTGGCTCACACCTATAATCCCAGCACTTTGGGAGGCCGAGGTGAGTGGATAACTTGAGGTCAGGAGTTCAAGACCAGCCTGGCCAACAGGTGAAACCCAGTCTCTACTGAAAAAAAAAAGATAATAATAATTACAGAGAAATATAATAGAAAAACAGATAAACCTCAAAACCCCAATTAACAGTACTAATTGCGGAGGCTGACTCTACAGTTCTTTCTAATAAATGTTTTGATTTTATTATTTAATTGTGATATAAGATAAGCACAACCCTATTGATATGCTGATATGCAGTGCTTTTCAAAGTTGAGGGTATGTGTGACTCCACATCAACAGTATGTGTGTGTGTGTGTGTGTGTGTGTACACACACACACACACACACACACACAAACTAGCCAGGTGTGGTCACATGCACCTGTAATCTCAGCTATTCTGGAGGCAGAGGGTGCAGTGAGCCGAAATCACACCACTGCACTCCAGCCTGGGTGACAGAGCGAAACTCCATCACAAAAATAAAAAAGAATGAATTTCTCGACACCACAGGTTCTTCAGCTCATTTCATTTCTAGCAACGTAAGGGCCCCATGTGAGCTCCTGAGAGCCTGAAATGCTGGCCTTCCCTGCCTCCACTGTTATTTACTTACATTAAAACGGGTTTTTAAAACTCACAAAATGCCATTTCATTAAACTTGTGTTTTCATTTATGTAAGATGGCTTCAATGCCGAAGCAAATTCATTGTTAGAAAAGTCAAGCTATAAATAAAAGGTAGCTAATTTTGCCTTTCTTGGTTTATAAAAGAAATTCTAGCCGTCCAAGCCTAATTCTGCAACATTATTTAAATGTTCCCCCTGAGGCCCTCCCTGTCCTGCCATTCCTACTGGGTCCTGTCCAGCCATCCACCTACTTGAGCAAGTCACCATACTATCACCCTGCTGGTGCATGGGTGAACCCAAGATCCCCACACAAGGATGCCATGCTGACATTCCCAGGCTCTCCATCATGCCTCCCTTTATTTCTTCATTCAACAAACATGGCTGAGCATGTGCTATATGCCAAGCACTATGCCAGCCACAGAATTGTAGCAGCAGACGAGCCAGCCATTGTCACTCGGTCACTTTCCCCCGGCCTCCATATGGGGAGCAAGAGGACTTCATGGCAGTTCATGTGCACACAGTGTCACTGCTTAAAACTCCAGCCTGCTCTTTCACTGAAAATCTGTGTCTAAGTAAATTTATTCATCCATCGTTAAGTCAAAGTCTGCCTGTCAGATCCCAGCAGTAGTGCCCGTGTGAAAAGACTCAATAAACTTTGGCAAGAAAAAAACAAACCCTGACAAAAAATAAAAACTGATTCTGTGTTGACTTGACACAGAAAAATACATGTTGCTAAAATTCTGAGGAGAGACAAGATTCCTCTGTGGTGTCTAGATTGCACTAGAGATATATATCATGTCCTAAGCAAATCATAGGGAAAAATTGCAGGGAAACACCTGCACACCTTCAGGTATCAACTCCAGAATCACTGCTTCTAGCACTTCTGGCCTGGCGGAGGGCGCTCCCTGGCTTCCCATGGCCAGGTGAGCTCCTTAAACTAGGTCTTGACCTCTCCCAACTCAGGATCTGCAGTATCTCTGATGACGCTGCCTAATACGCCAATGGTACTAAACACATACTTGTGGGGCCAACCTGATTTCAACAAAAAAGTGTTTGGCCTAAATACATGAGAGAATCAGTAAATCAGGAAACACATCTCACATCAAGGAAACAAGCACTTTCCAGGTGTGAATGCTACGATGTTTAGCACAGCCTCTTTGACTAATTTCAAGGTGAAGAAGCAAGTTAGTAATAATAACCTACAAGCCTTACCTCATTTCGTGCAACCAGAGTTATAAAAGCTCCTTGTTTATAGCACTCGATAGCAATGCACTTCCCAATGCCACTGGAACCTCCTGTAACCTAAAACAAAATCATAAAAATCTTCTTAGCACTTGAAAACTCCCCTCTGTAGGAAGCTTTATAAAAACAACTATGACGAGCTCTTAAAATGAATCTACAAGAACTAAAGGGTTAGCTGTTACAGGTTCTTCATCCCAAACTTAACAACTGGAGTTAAGTGTAAGGGTGAAGGATACTATCAGCAAGACCTGCTGCTTTGACCATTTTCTTATTGAACCATAAATTGCACACCTATAATATCTTTCTGAGTTCATTGGTGGAAAAGTGCCCTATAAATCTAGCTCATAAATAATACATTAGTGTGCCTCTGATTCCAAATCCAAATGAATCTTATTTCCTTAATGCACATTTATGCAAAATTAGCTCTACAACAGATGAAAAGAATGACCACCTGCATATATATTATATTTGAAATGATGGGTAGTATAAAAGTAATATACAATCACAAGGAAATCCTGAAAAGTAAAGCTCTTCTTGCACTATTCTACCACTATCTACAGCTCAGCCATACTGGCTGTCTTTCAGTTCCACCAACCCTCCAACCGCAGCACCTTTGCACATGCTACTTCCCTTACAAAAGAATGCTCTCCTCTCTGCTTCATCTAACTGACACCTACTCGCCTGTCAAATCTCAGCTCAAATACCACTTCCTCAGGAAAGCCTTCACTGTCTCTCCTGCTTCCACCCTGACACACTTTCCTGCACCATATTTCTTCTTCACCTGATGACATGCACATAATAACCAGCTCTAGATTTGTGTGATTTTCTGATTAACAACCGTCTTTCCTGACACCACCCCATAAATTCCATTAAAAATACCAATTCTTTTTCTGTTCCCCACTATATTCCTAGCACTTGACATGGGGAGGGCTCAATACATATTATATATTTCACAGAGTAAGTGAACAATGCAACATTTTCTTTCTTTCTTTCTCTCTCTCTTTCTTGACACAGAGTCTCAATCATATGTCAGCTCAGTCACCCAGGCTGGATTTATTTGCTTGCTTGCTTGCTTTTTCTTTCTCTTTTTCTCTCTCTCCCTCCCTCCCCTTTTCTTTTCTTTCTTTTTTGATACAGAGTCTCACTCATATGTCAGCTCAGTCACACAGGCTGGAGTGCAGTGGCAGCACAATCTCAGCTCACTGCAACCTCTACCTCCTGGGTACAAGCAATTCTACTGCCTCAGACACCCAAGTAGCTGGGACTACAGGTGTGCACCACCACGCCCAATTAAATTTTGTATTTTTAGTAGAAAAGTGGTTTCACCATGTTGAACTGGTTGGTCTCGAACTCCTGACTTCAAGTGATCCACCTGCCTTGACTTCTCAAATTGTTGGGATTACAGGTGTGAGCCACCACACCTGGACATATCTTTCTAGTCACTGTCCCTATGCAAATTACATAATATTGCATAGTATTGTGTCCTTTTTAAAAAAAATTATATTGTCCTCTGTCAAAAAACGAAAAGGTCTTACAATATTGCATCAAATAGCTGCATCAAAACTTAACTATTTCCCTATGATCAGACATTTAGATTATTCCTAATATTTCACTGTCATACTTAAATAATGCTGGGAGGGAGATCTCTGACCCCATCCCAGGATTTAAACATGATTGGGAAGTGTCTCCTATGCAAATACAAATGCACCTATCTCTATGGGACTTATAGGCAACCCTTACTTCTCTTTAGCCTCAACCTGCCACCACTGAATAGATTGATTTGGTGGATAATCAGCCAGTTATCAGCAGAAGATTACTGTAAAAATACAGCTGTTGTTGGCTGGGCGCAGTGGTTCACACCTGTAATCACAGCACTTCGGGAGGCTGAGGCAGGTGGATCACCTGAGGTCAGGAGTTTAAGACCAGCCTGGCCAACATGGTGAAACCCCATTTCTACTTTAAAAAAAAAAATTAGTTGGGCATGGTGGCAGGCACCTGCAATCCCAGCTACTTGGGAGGCTGAGGCAAGAATTGCTTGAACCCGGGAGGCAGAGGTTGCAGTGAGCCGAGATCACACCATTGCACTCCAGCCCAGGCAACAGAGAGTGACTCTGTTTCAAACAAACAAACAAACAACAACAAGAACAAAATATATATATATGGACATATATACACATATATATATGCACACATATATACATACATATATATATAGAGAGAGACAGAGAGTACAAGCACTATTGCCTAGGTTAATGGCTGCCTCTGAGATCTTTGCTATGAAGATAGTCCATGGGTCATTTGGCTTATTCAATTTCACCAGATATTACAATTGCATAGCAACTAGTTGAACCCCTAAAAATATCCCTGTCTGTTATATGTTGTTGCCCTGCTGCTTAGGTGTCCCTCCACCCAACCTCCCCCACACATCCGCATTTCCAAATCCCACCCATCCCACAGACCTCAGTTCTAACATCCCCTCCTCCAAGATTTTCCAGACTCTCACTGGTTCTTGCCCTTAGCTGTCATAATCTATCTTGTGAGGTTACATATAGACATGTCTTAGCACCCCTGCCAGACATCAGTTCCTTAAGGACCAGAACCAAGTCCAACTGACCTCACTCATTCCTAGCATAATACCTTGCATAAGCACTTGCTAAATAAATACTTGCCTATGTTAATTTGCAAAATGGAGTATGACGCCATTTCTCTGAAAAGTGTGACGTAAAAAATATATAAATAAAATTTCCCTACTTATTATCTAGGAAATTAATGGAAGTGGAAGTTATGAGGTTACTGAGAAAATGCATATACTCTGAAGTGTTATGTTGATATTAGCTATTGTTATCATTGCTGTCCTTTCTCTAGACTGTAGATAGGTAAGCTAGCTGTGTAAATTTACTGCAAAGCAAAAAACAAGGTTTAAACACGACCAACTGTACGATCTATCCATAACAAGAGTCTGACTTCTGCTTTTGGGTCATGGTTCATGGGAAACTTACCTTCTAGTCAAGTCAGTTAATTCTTAGATGGTATCTAAGAATATACTTGCATCAATTGGGCTACGTTATTCTGAATGTTATAAGAAAATATGAGGGATTTTCACAATGACTGAGAAAAGTGTAAATGTCTACTGACTTGCCTGACAACTGCTAAATCATGCCTAGATCCAGGACACTAAAAATAACAGCTGAGGCTGTAATCCCAGCACTTTGAGAGGCAGAGGCAGGAGGATCTCCTGAGTTTGGGAGTTCGTGACCAGCCATACTAACATGGAGAAACCCCATCTCTACTAAAAATACAAAATTAGTCAGGCGTGGTGGTGCATGCCTGTAATCCCAGCTACTTGGGAGGTTTAGGCAGGAGAACCAGTTGAACCTGGGCAACAAGAGCAAAACTCCATCTCAGAAAAAAAAAAAAAAAAAAAAAAAAAGGTAACAGTTTAATGTCTTTTATTATTCCCTGTTACTATTCACTGCAAATATTGTTTAAATGTTACTATCACCACATAGCTATCATTTAGGGCAACAATGATGTGCTGTGAGTCATTTCCAAAAGGGGGAAGATTTAAATAAGTATATGCCCTGTGAGATTTGCTGCAATTTTACTATTGTAACTAGATAGATAACACCAGGATATAAAATTGTTCTAAAAATGAAACAATAAATAGTTCTAAGTTTGTTCACGATCCTGTACAGGCAGACAGTCTAACTATCAGCTCCCTCTCCCAATACCACCCAGTCAACTCCTAACAAATCTCAGAACAATAATTACACTTTTCGCTCTCCTTATGACATTAAGAAAGACAGATGGTGACACGATGTGAATTATTCATGTCATTCTCACATTATTTAGAGTGTGAAATAATAATCCTGCGTAATAAAGTGGGATGGCAAAAATAAGAAATTCTTTTTGGTCTACCTCAACAGCCAACAGCATTTATTATCTGACCTATGACCTGCCGAGGGATGGGGCTGGAAGGACTAGAGTCAAGGTTCAGTGAAACTGTCTAATAAATAAGGAGTCTGAATTTTCATTCTGCGTTTGGCTTTACTTTTGGCAAAGTTATGCTCCATAAACACAAGCTCTGAAAGGATCCAACGTTTGAAGCCATGCTTTTGAGGCACCAGTTCTCCTGTGATGTAAAACTTTCAGAATTTAACGTGTCAAGTTTTGTCTCTCCTTCTCCGTATTTATTTTTTGTAATGAGCCTACAACTCAGCTCCTCACCTTCTTTACCCATTAGAAACGGGGTGTTTCTAATGGGGAAAGAAAGTTTAAAAATTTAATAGTTTTAAAAGGGAGAAATTAAAGAGAATACATTTTCTCATTCATAAACCCTCGTTCGGATTTAAAGCACAGTGAAAGAAATGACTATCTTATCTTATACCAGCTCAGCAAGGAGGCGCGGATCTCCGAGGCAGAGCTACGATGGGAAGAGGTGTGCTGCCAGCTTTGTAACCAACCCTCCTTATTCCTAACTTCCCTCCTCACTGTGCCTCGGGGTTGAGAGATCCAAACAAGAAAGCTGGTGAGAAAGCCACTGCAAACGGGAAAGTGGTGGACGCAGGCAAGGAAGCATCCTCTCTGTTTAAGAAATGTGCCACACTTGCAGAACAGGGATCGCTGAAGACGCGAGCTGCCGGCAAGAAACGCATCACACCCATCCACCTCTCCTTCATCCCTCGAACACTAGCCCCGTCGTTTAGCTCATCCTTTCTCCTAGGAAACAGCTAAGAATTGCATTGGAGCAGCCACCAGCAGATGCCACCCTCAGAGAGCTCAGAGACAAGCAGCGTAGACGGGACAGGCGTCCCAATGCCGCTAAACCACCACCGCCAGCACGGTGGTTCAGAGCGGTTTCCCCAGGTGAGTCACTTCTTGGAATCCTCTGGCAGCAGCTCTTCCCTTCACTCGCACAGGCCATCTTCCAGTTCTGAGCTGCCTCGGCGGGTCCCGGCGGCTGGGACCCCGCTTCCCCGCTGTCTGCCCCGGCCCGGGACCTAGCGTCGCACCCCGCGCACGACCGACCGCTGTGTCCTTGGCAAAGTTTCTCAGCCTCTCTGTGCCTTAGTTGACTCATCGGAAAAACAGCCACATCCCAGGGATGTTCCGTGGATTCAGGAGCAGACACCGCACCCCGGGGCCCCGGGAGCCCTGCGGCTGCTGCTGTCCCTCGGGAGGAGCCCGAGGCAGCAGAGGGCTGGTTCCCCAGGCCGAGTGCCCGGCCGGGGGCAGAGCGCCGGGGTAGACGCCGGCAGGTGACCTTCCCCATCCGGCCATGCCTTGCTGGGGACCGCGGCCTGGAGACAGGGGCGTCGGCGGCGGGGCCTCGGCGGCGGAAAGGCCTCGCGGGCAGGGAGGTCGGGGCGCAGCAACAGGGCAGGGAGGTCGGGGCGCAGCAATAGGAGGCCACTCACCACCACATGCGCCCCGGGCAGGGCGAGGGGCTTGGGGCTGATGAGCGGAGACACCATGTAGAGCAGCAGCACGAAGGCCACGAGGAAGGCGGCTGCCAGCAGCAGCATCGCTCCGCGGGGCCGGGTGCCGGGAGCGGCCGGGCGGGGGCCGCCAGGCGGGGCGCGCAGCGCTGGGCGGCGGCGGAGCGAAGATCACGCGCGGCGGGCGAGCGGCTGGCGCCGAGAGTGTTTGGGTTTGCGGACCCTGGCGCGCCGCGGCGGAGGGGAAGAGGAGGAGCCGGTGTGGGCGCCACCCAGGCGGGGCGGTGCTTCCAGGGGGCGCCGCCGGCACCGCCGCCGGAATCGCTTCTGGGGTGGGGTCCCGGGTGTCTCCCACGCCTCCCGCCCCGGGACGGGGCCCACAGTCCGTAGCCTCCCACGCGGAAACCGGACCTCCGCTCCCTGAGCGCCGCGAGCACCAGAGTTCCGGGCAGCGCCACCTGCGAGCGCGCCGGGCAGGGCAGCCAAGACTCGCTCCTCGGCAGCTCGAGTGGCTTCTTAGGACCCCGCAGAGCGGGTTTCCAGGCCTGCCACGGCCTCCTACGGCCGCCAATGTGGGCGTGGCGAGCGCTCCTCCCCGGCGGCGAGGGACCGCCAGCCGGGACGCTCGGAGGCCCCGGAGCATCCGACAGGGCGGATAACGGCTCCCCGGAGCCGGCTCAGCCCGGGAGCCCCGCGACTGCGCTCTGAAATCCCGGACCCCATATTCTCTTGGCGTTCTTAGAAGAGGGTCACAGCCCACTTTCGCTTTTCAGAGGACCGGGAAAGGCTTAACTGGGAGTTCCGAGAAATCACCAAGGTTTAATTCAATTTCATAGAGCTCGGAGTTCATCTTTACCAAGCAAGTTCAAAACCAACAAAAAAACGCAAACAACTCAGCTTTATTAAGGTCTCGGTAGCATACTGTACCATTCAATTCCCGACTTGAAAAGCATAATAGGCCGGGCGCGGTGGCTAACGCCTGTAATCCCCGCCCGTTGGGAGGCCGAGGAGGGCGGATCGCTTGAGATCAGGAGTTTGAGACCAGCCTAACCAACATGGTGAAACCTCGTCTCTACTAAAAATGCAAAAATTAGCCGGGCAATGTTGGCGGGCGCTTGTAATCCCAGCTACTAGGGAGGCTGAGGCGGGAGAATTGCTTGAACCCAGGAGGCAGAGGTTGCACTGACATCGCGCCACTGCACTCCATGCCGGGCGACAGAGCAAGGCTCCATCTCAAAAAAATGAAAAAATAAAGCTCAAAATAAATTGTTTTTAACATACAGTTGTGGACCCACCACCACCACCATAAATTTTAGAACATTTTTGTCACAATCCCCCAAAATTCTATACTCATTAGCAGTCACGCCCCATTTCCTCCCAAACCCTGCCGAAGCCTAAGCAATCCCTTATCTTTCTGTCTCTATAAATTTGCCTATTCTGGATATTTCACAAAAATGGAATCATACAATATGTAGCCTTTTGCATTTTATCTTTCACTTACTGTAATGTTTTCAAGGTTCATCCATGATATGAAGTACATGTTAATATTTCATTTATTTCTATTGCCAAATATCCTATGGAATGGATATACCACATTTTAATTTTCCATTCATCAATTGAGGAGTATTTAGGTTGTTCTACTTTTTGATTATTAGAATTATCCTAACTGTAAATATTCATTTACAGGTTTTTCTGCGGGCATATATTTCATTTCTCTTGGATATATGCCTAGGAGGGGAATTGCTACCTCTTATGGCCACTCTATGTTTAACTATTTTAGGAGTTGCCAGAATGTTTTCCAAAGTGACTACATTTTGTGTTCCTACCAGCAGTGTATGTGGGTTCCAATTTCTCCACATCTTCACTAACACTTGTTAGCATCCATCTATCTGATTATAGCTTTTGTAGTTGGTGTGAAGTCATATTATGATTTTAATTTGCATAGAGGCACATATTTTTGTTTGCTTACTTTTCATTTTTGTTGTTGTTTCTAGAAAAACTAGGGAGCTAAGGAGAAAAAAAAAAGGTTTTCTTTTTTTTCCTTGACTTATGGCAGAGTTAGCCAAACTGCAAGATTTGAGGGCATAGTGTCCAAGACTTCTGATATCAGTGTAAGTTTAGAGGTTCCCAAACCACCCTCAGGTTTGATAATTCATGGGGAGGACTCACAGAACTCACTGAAAGCCATTATGCTCATAGCTATGGTTTTATTATGTGGAAAGAATACAGATCAAAATCAGCTAAGGAAAGCATGCCTAAGGCAAAGTCTGGAGGGCTCCAAATGCAAAGCTCCTGTTGTCACAGAGTCAGGCTGTGTTACCTTCCCAGCACTGGTATGTGACAATATGCTTGGAGTACTGCTAAGCAGTGAAGCTTGCCTGAGCTTCTGTGTCCAGAGTTTTCACCGGTACTCGACCAGATAGGCTTGATCAGTCATCCACTTGGTTGAATTGAGACTCAACTAGACTGAAAGTGTATGACAAAAGCCCCTACCTAATTCAGGTTTGGCCTTTCTGGAATGGCCAGTCCCCACCCCAAAATCCATTTTGGTTAGTCCTCATCTAAACAGATACTCCTATCAGGTATGACATAGATAACCTTCCAGAAGGCAAGGGAAAAAGTCAAACCTTCTCTTTGGGCAAGATTGAATCCTTTACAACATGGCCACCAACTGGCTTTTGGCGAAAGCTTTCTTACCGTAAAATGAACATATGTCTGACATTTGGAGGAGCCACTGTAGAGTAGGAGGCTTTTAACTCAGTTTCTCAATACATGTGGCCATCTATGTGAGTATTATAATCTCGCTTATAATTCCAGAGTTAGACTGTATTGTGATATGGTAGTAAACATAACTTGAAAAATTAGAGTTAGCCGGGCACGGTGGCTCAATCCTGTAATCCCAGCACTTTGGGAGGCTGAGGCGGGTGGATCACAAGGTCAAGAGATCAAGACCATCCTGGTCAACATGGTGAAACCCCGTCTCTACTAAAAATACAAAAAATTAGCTGGGCATGGTGGCGTGTGCCTGTAGTCCCAGCTACTCAGGAGGCTGAGGCAGGAGAATTGCCTGAACCCAGGAGGCAGAGGTTGCGGTGAGCCGAGATCGCGCCATTGCACTCCAGCCTGGGTAACAAGAGCAAAACTCCGTCTCAAAAAAATAAATAAATAAATACAAATTAGAGTTAAAAGATAGTGGCAGATAAATACAAGAGTTCTACTCTGCCATCAACAGCTGGTCCAGTTCATCATCATATTGTATGCCCAAAGTGTCTCTCAGAGCAATGGCACTCAGGCTTGCGGGTTCCCATTTGACGCTATCATTTCCAAAAACAGAAGTGGCCTTCACCCTTTCAGGTACCAGAATGTCTTTTTAACATGTTTTGTCCACCAAGTAGCTTACAGATTTTAACATTAACAACTTGCATGTACTCAGCAATCTTACTGGTTCCCATTTAGCATGTCCAATCAATATTGTCTAAAGGGCAGATTCACCTGTCTGTGTTTTGCATTACTAGGTAAGGGAGACCTTTCTCATAGTACATTCATGTAAAGGGGATGCAACAACTCCAAATAGAATCTGTTCAGACATTCCAGTTTTCATCTAGACTTTCACTTTAATCCTGTCAAACGTATATCTTTCCAGTCTAACTGAAAAACAGTGCATGGGGCTCCCATGTCAAAGAATTTTAGAAATGTTTCTTTTCTGCTGGGCTTGGTGGCTCATGCCTGTAATCCCAGCACTTTGGGAGGCCGAGGCAGGCAGATTATGAGGTCAGGAGATGGAGACCAACCTGGCCAACATGGTAAAACTCTTGTCTCTACTAAAAATACAAAAAAAAAAAAAAATTAGAAATTAGCCATGCATGGTAGTGTGCACCTATAGTCCCAGCTACTTGGGAGGCTGAGGCCAGAAGGCAGAGATTGCAGTGAGCCGAGATCATGCCTCTGCACTCCAACCTGGCAACAGAGCAAGGCTCTGTCTCAAAAAAAAAAAAAAGAGAAATACTTCTTTTCCACCTGTACATTTGGTCTTGGGCCCCAAACCAGAAATTGGGCCAGTGGACCTACGTTCTTTCTTCAGGGTGTGTGTGTGTGTGTGTGTGTGTGTGTGTGTGTGTGTGTGTGATGGAGTCTTGCTCTGTTGCCCAGGCTGGAGTGCTGTGGCATGATATTGGTTCACTGCAATCCCCACCTCCTGGGTTGAAGCAATTCTCCTGTCTCAGCCTCCCGAGTAGCTGGGATTATAGGCATGCACCATCATGCCTGGCTAATTTTTGTCTTTTAGTAGGGACAAGGTTTCATCATGTTGGTCAGGCTGGTCTCGAACTCCTGACCTCTGGTGATCTGCCCACCTCAGCCTCCCAAAGTGCTGGGGTTACAGGTGTGAGCCACCTGCCTGGCCTTTCTTCAGTTCTTGACTACATTGTGTATCTTCCCCCAGGTGACTGGAAGTCAGGTTTCTCACAGTCATCTTTGCTTTGCAGCTTTTACAATTTATCCAAACTAGGTTGAATAAAGTGATTTGTTTAGCAGTCTTCAATGTCGGGGGATTGACTTGTAAGGGTTTCCATTAGTCCAGCTTCTGAGAGTGCCGCATTAAGACTTTTGTTTCAACACTACCAAGGCCCACTTTATGATATTTCTTAATAACTGTTTTAAAATGTCTATCCATTCCACCTCCCTTTTCTCTTGCCTTAGTCTCTTGGAGTAAGTCTGCTCTTTGTTGTTTTAACGTAACTTTTCCCTTTGTAGGTGGCCCTGAGGCTAGCAGCTGTGGCTCACTGGCTAGAATTCAAGCTTGGCCTAGCCTCAAGTTCTGCCCCAACACTATCCCTGTAATTTAGGTATTACAGATAATAACAATCAAGAGATTGCATGTTCAGCTTTCTGATGTTGTTGTTCCTTTGCATTTATTTTGGCCTCCAATGAGCCAATTCACTTTGAGTAAGATCCCATGATTTCTAAATTACATTGGTAAATCTTAACTTCAAGTAATGTAAGTAAACCCCATGGCTACCTGGGGTTTATTCAAGGATGCAAGGCTGTTGCAATATTTAAAATTCAATCAGTATAATCTATTACATTAACAGGCGAAAAGAAGGAAAATCACAGGATCATATCAATCAATGTAGAAAAGGCATCTGACAAAATTTGACACCCATTCATAATTAAAATTCTCAGAAGTATAAGAACATAGAGGAACTTCCTCAACTTTATGAAGAACATCTGTAGAAAAACCTATAGCTAATGGTGAAATACTGAATGCTTCCTCCATAAGATCAAGGTCAAAGCTAAGGTTACTTGCTCTCACCACTCTCACTCAACAGTCCTGGAAGTTCTAGCCAGATCAATAAGGCAAGAAGA